GGGGGCAATGGCTCAAAGGTAGAGATGGTGCCTCCACCCACTATGTAATCGACGTCGTACATGCTTTTTCTTTGGCTTCAAAGTTGGTTTTGCGGCGTGGTGATGGATGGCCACTCCTGGCGAATCAGCGGATATCCGCGAGGTGAGGAAATACAAAAAGTGGGAATAAATTGAGTAAATAACCGAGACAGGAATAATTGAAGGTGCCATTCTCGTTGACGAAACTGCATATCTATTTTATGTGACTGCAGCGGCGGCGTTGTCGCTCATGGTCGTAGGCCTGTCTTGCGGGAGTGGTCAGTGCTGCGGGTTAGGAAGGCTTTAGCGGGAATTAACGCTTGATGCTTGCCGAGATAGCTTAACTAGAACTCCATGCGCGTTTCTCGGGGGCAGTCCCGCAACAACCTTGAGCACGCACCGAACCTTCGCATCCACATAACGACAATATTTATTCTGCATTGACTGACGGTCACGCAGTTGCGGGAAACATTGGTCAACGGCAGCAATCGACGCGACACCCTCACCTCACACAAAGCCCCGACCTAGCCCGAACGACGGACCGCACACCACCCTCCCAACCACCAACCGCGCCCACAGCCCGACGGGTACACTCCCAAGGCGTCTCCCCCTCACCATGGCGGCACCCGCGCGGCCGGCGGCGGCGGGGCCCGCTGCGCCCGCGCCCGAGGACTCGGCGCCCAAGCTGCTATGGAACACGGAGAACGTCAAGGACGTGGCCGAGTCGGTCGGGATCCCCAACATCGGCGAGGACGCGCTGCGGTGCCTGTCGCAGGACGTCGAGTACCGCATCGGCCAGGTCATCGTCGAGGCGCTGCGCTTCATGCGCGCCGCCAACCGCACGACCCTGACGGTCCAGGACACGTCGCAGGCCTTCAAGGTGCTCGACGTCGAGCCGCTGTACGGCTACGACTCGACCCGGCCGCTGCGGTACGGCGAGGCGAGCCTTGGGCCTGGCCAGCCGCTCTTCTACATTGACGACGAGGAGGTAGATTTTGAGAAGCTGATAAACGCCCCGCTGCCCAAGGTGCCCAGGGACATGAGCTTCACAGGTGAGGCCTGCTTGATCTGGACGCTTGCCTTGCTTGCTTTCTTTTCCTAGCCGTATTCTTGCTCACCGAGTCCCCTCTCCCACCGCACAGCACACTGGCTCGCCGTCGAGGGCGTGCAGCCGTCGATCCCGCAGAACCCCACGACGGCCGAGTCGCGGGCGCAGGAGCTGATACCAAAGGGCCCCGGCGCCAACCCGGCGCTCTCGGCGCTGGCGGGCAACGACAACCTCGCCTTCCACCCGGCCGTCAAGCAGATAATAAGCAAGGAGCTGGTGCTATACTTTGACAAGATCCAGGCAGCCGTGCTGGACGACAGCCCGGACGAGGAGACGGCGCGCCTGCGCGAGGCGGCGCTCGAGTCGGTCCGCACCGACCCGGGCCTGCACCAGCTCGTGCCCTACTTTGCAAACTTCATCGCCAACCAGGTCACGCACCGCCTCGATGACACCTTCACCCTGCGCATGATGATGGAGCTCACCGCCGCCCTCGTCGACAACCCGCACCTGTTCCTGGACCCCTACGCCGGCCCGCTGTCGGCCCCCGTGCTGACGGCGCTCATGAGCCGCAAGATTGGTGGTGGTGGCGCTTCTGCTCCCACTGCTGCTGCTGCTCCTGCTCCTACCGCCAGCAACGGCAGCGGCATGGACGTCGACGGCGCCGTGGCGGCCCCCGCGGCGCCGCCGGCGGACCCGATCCACGACCAGTTCCTGCTGCGCGAGTTCGCCGCCAGCCTGCTCGGGCGCATCGCGACAAAGTACACGCGCGCCAACAAGCACCTGCGCTCCAAGCTCACGCGCACGTGCCTCAAGTACCTGCTCGACCCCACAAAGCCGCCCGCCGTGCTGTACGGCGCCCTCAACGGCCTGGCCGCCGCCGGCGGGCCCGAGGCCTTTAGGGTCCTGGTCCTGCCAAACCTCAAGAGCTTCGACGCCGCCGTGCTGCAGCCGCTGCAGGAGCGCGCGGGCGCGGGCGCGGGCGGGGGTGGGGGCGCTGCTGCCGCCGCCGCCGCCGCCGCCGGAATCGAGTTCGAGGCGCTGGCCGGCGCCATCGTCAAGAACACGCTCGCGCTCGGTGACCACGACCCGGCCGTGCCCAACGGCGTCAACGGCGGAATGGCGGCCTCCCTCGAGGAGTCAGAGCTCGTCGACTTCCTCGGCCCCATCGTCGGGGCCCGCATCGCGGCCCTGGGCGACCACAAGCTCAACAGGATCGTGCTCGCGGCCAGGAATATTGAATAGCATATCTATTCTTGGCTGGGGACCCTTGAATGATGGGGACGTGGCTTCTCACTTTCATGTTCACTTTTTTTTTCTGCCTCGTTTTCACACAAATGGTTCTGGCGCCCGGAGTCTTTTTTCAGGACATCTGAGCCTTACTTTATTCACAACTGGTTTATATTCCCCAAAGAGACTCGTCGTCTTCTTGCGCGTCTTGGGATTGAAAAGGACGCCAGCATCAACAGGGCAAGTCATCCAGCTGCCCGACGGTTACGTGGGGATGCATCAAATGTCATTCGGCGGCACGATAATCCACAGGTCGCATGGGGCATTTGTTGTCCTTCACCCCCTGATGATGCTCACCATGGAATCTGAGCATCTCTTATCCAAACAAATAATAAAAATGGGCAACTGGCCTGGATCCCCCTGGATTAGCTTAGCGTCTATACTCGTCGGAGCCGTAGAGTATCCGAACAACACCTGCTCCTCGCTTTTTTTCCTGGTTTTTTTTTATCAGTCCGTCCGCCACGGTGGCTCACAGCAAAGCTCCCGCCATGCTTCACTAGATCACCGGCCAAGCAAAAGCTGGCAGATTCACCCTCCATCCCCTTTTCTCCTCCAGGCCTGATGGAGCCCCCTCCCAGCGCCCCGATTGTCCGACCGTCCCTCCAGCACAGCCCTCCGCCTACAAGAAGGCAACAAGACCGGCGGCGCTCAGGGCGCTGGCGGCCCAGACGTAGCGAGACAGGGCCTTGAGCCCGGCCTTGTCGAAGCCCCTGGCCGTGTCCCAGAAGAGGTGGCGGACTCCGTTGAAGGAGTGGAAGGTGAAGGGCCAGGCGAGGAGGAACTTGAGCCCGCCCTTTGCGAAGGCGGGCCAGGCGCCGACGGCGGCGGCGACGCTGGCCGACTCGAGGTGCCAGCCCGTCAGCGGGGCGGCCAGGTAGGCGACGCTGAAGCCGTAGAGCGTGCCCGTCAGGAGCGTGCCCGAGATGCGCTGCCAGATGGAGCCGCCCAGGAAGGTCTGCTTGTAGTCGTAGATCTCGAGGTGCGGGGCCACGGGCCGGCGCAGGCGCTGCTCGGCCAGGAGCGCGTCGTTCTCGGCGTGCGTGAGCTTGGTCGTGAGCGGGCTTTCGGGGGGGGGAGCTTGTTAGTTCCTTTTTTCTCCCCGCCCTATGCCTCCCATCGCGCCCGGGAGGTGGTGATGTGAACATACCGGGTCTGTGAGCTCTGTAGGCTCAGGGCGGCGGCCGATCTGGGGATGTGCTGGGAGAAGACGGGTTGTTGGGTGGCTGGCGGGCGGGGAGTATTGTTAGCGACACCGACTGCGACTGCGCGCCTTAGGACTTCCACTTCTTTCGCATTAGCGCCGCGGCAGGACTTACCTCGCCGGATGGCCATGAGGCCGACCCTCTGGGTGCTCATGGTCGCGGCTTGTCGCGGGGGGTTTTTCGTGTGGGAATGAAAGCTGGTTCTGCCCTTTGGGGAAACAAGCGCGCTGGGGTTTGCGGTTGCAATTGGGGCTGTGTAGCGGCTTCCTGAGCTGGAGGGGCCAGACGACTGGGGGGGGTAGGTTTGATGATGCAGATTCACCAGTCGTCGTCGATGATGTCCCCTGGACGAGCTGCCACAGCTCCATGATCCATGCACCTCTTTCGGCTCCTCGGCTCTCCCTAGCCAATCAGAGGCGTTCCATTTCCAGCTTCTGGTGAAAGTCAGCAGCATAGTCACATGATCACCATCGGCCCGTGCCTCTCTGGGACCCACCTAGCGAGGCGGCTGGAGAAGAAAACTGAGGCGACATCGCGGGTCCGTCTTTGAAATTTTCTCTCTCCTTTTTCTCTTCTTCAGATAGCCATGGGCGTTCCGCACTCGCTCTGCTGTTGGGAAACCCCTTCGCCTTTGGGCAAGGAGGATGGCCCGATGGGCAGCTGCACCGTGTCCCGGGGCGGATTTTCCGCCAGCCGACGTCCAGAGAAGAATGATCCATCGTTAATCTCGGTCTCTTGGTCTCTCCATCCATTGACCGTTTCATTTTAGAGATCTACATGTCCCTGCTCCTCTGCCCGATGCCCCTCCGTTGGGCCATGTTTGCCATCGTTTTCCCGCTGCTTGTCGGTTCTCGCGCTCTTGCTCACCGACGTGCTGTCCTACGTCGCCCATGCGTCACAACACGCCGACACGCGTTGATGACATGTGGCGAGAGATGGGGTGTGTATGTGTATGTCCCTGCCATGGCCATGTATTCCATACGCAGAACGCAAGCTTGTCATGATTCTATGCACCATGCCGCTGCTTGTGTGCGCGTCTGTCGCGACCGCTGCTGTCCCTGGCATACACGCCCGCGCTGGTTGGCTGAGAGTTCTCCCTGCCACTCTATTCTACCCTTTGCATAGAACTGGGCTAGACAGCTGCTCCATCGAGCTGATATCCGGGTGGCAGCGCGCTCGGCGAGGCGGCACGGCACAGAAGCTGTGTCTGGATGGCCAGCGTTCCATATCAAAGACGGATAGACCCCTTGACAGCTTGTGTTCCACTTGTGCAACCACCCATGACCCCAAAACAAAACTGTAGCTCGACAACGCTGATAGGATCCCCAATATCTGAGTCCATAGCTCTACCTTCCTGTGGCATATATCCTTTCCAGACCTGCATCCTCTTCTGCCTCCCGTTTGTTGTAAAATGTCTACCCTTAAAGGGCGTCGACGACAACACTCCCAGATGTTCGAACTGACCTGACCCCTTGCTCAGTTTGTAATGGCTGTAGGCTCTTGTTTGGAGAACGTGTCACCTTGTGCGCGGCTTGGGATGAACGAGCTGTCGCCTTCTCCTAACCCACTCGACTGGTGTTCGGGGTGGCCAAGCAGCTTGCTCACAGAGATATGCCCGTACGTTCCCGAAAACACAACATCCCGCTACCTTTTGTGATGTGAGCCAGTGTTGTTGTATGCTGTCCGGTCTAGCATCACACAGGGCTCGGAACCAGGCGGGACGTTTGACAAGCAGCGCAGTTTGCCGCACACACACATAGCTTCTCCCCCATTGTTGGCCACGGGTGACTGCTGCTTGCGTCCTGATCACCAGGAGGTCTCTCTGTGCATCTCGAACCGGCTCCTTTCTCCGGTGTAATGGCTTCAGCGGGGCATATGAGGTCCCATCGTGCAACCTCACCGTGGTGGACAGGGTGGCACGCATCCCCATAGCAAAGCTTCGGTGCCAGTGGCCTATAGTCCGGGGAAAGTCCATAAGAGAAGTCTGGTGCCACATTCCAGGAGGAGAGGCTTCAAGGTCTTCATATCGCCGCAAAGTGACCACCCCAGCTCTTCACACCCCAGCTTCCTCGGGATAACAACCCCAAATATGCATACTCCACACACAACACTTGTCACGTTGATTGGGCGTGATGGGCCTCCCCAGGCCGACCAGCTCAGCACGACGGGCATCATACTCATCACTACGATACCCTTGATCCTCGTTTTGGCCGCGATTATCTGGTGCAACATAACAAACCCCACGGTTATGGTCACAGCCTGCGGCCCACAGCGGGTATCCCGCGCCAGCTCCACGGAGTCCTGTTCCGACAACACGTCGATTATCATGGATTAGCGAAAGCCACGCCGCGGGAGAGGGAGGCATGGACCCGCGAGATGCGGGTACAGGGTTGATCAGTGGATCAGGGACACATCGGTGGGTGAGTATCTGTCTGCCTTTCCTCTTCAGTTACCCCTTTCAACTATTCCACCCATGTCCCCTGAGGCATACTTGGACATCTCGCTTGTTGCCCATCACTAATGCTGTCTAGTCTGGCAGACATGTTCCATCGGACGGCTTTATATGGCAGGTATCAACACATCACAGGAGGGAACCAACCCTCTCCCACGCCGTGACTGTGGCTACCAGCGTGGACATATGAACCGTAGCGAATCGGTTTGGGTTGATGTCGTTTCGGAGCAGCCCCGACAGCGGAAATCTCATACTGCACGCGCCGCTATTCGTCAACGACAAGAACAGCGGGGGCGTCTCCACGGAGGGAAAGGAGCTACCGAGCCGAAGGATGGAGGAACGCAGCAAGAGCACAGCCTTTGTACCAACCGATTCTCCCGTAACCCAGAAGGGGAATAATGAGGACGCTCTGCCCCTCATGCTCGGGTTGTCCGTCGGCGGGATCATGTTCTTTATCCGAGCGGTGTTCTTGTATGTGAGGATCAAGCATGGCCCTATGAAGCGGGATCCTCCGCCTCCATTGGGAAGCACGTGGGATTAGCTGTGCTAGGACTGCCGAGCTTGACAGTAAGGACCACAGCAGACTTGGCCGCCATTTTCCCGCCTTTTCTGTATTACATGCAATATCAGATCGTACTGGCGAGTCTTGGCTTCCGGTAACGACCATCAACTACAACTTATGTCCCGCCAGCCTCTAATAATGGCGACATCGAGGGGAGGCCGAACAGTGAATATCGGGACTGGTCAAGTGGGCCTGGCGGTTGTAATAATTACGATGCAGTTGCCAAGAGAATCTTCACGCTGAGAAGCAACGTCATCTGCGCCACCAGGATGGAGGCAGGCAGGCGGCTACGCAGGGTGCTAGGGTGCTAGGCTAACTAGGCTGCGCCTCTCGCCGATGGGCTCCGAGGTGATGGGTTGCACTGGCTCATCTCCACGGCTCATTCTGCTGACTGCCGTTGATTACCTAGGTATCTCGAATTATCTCGAACCTGATCTGTACCACCAGGCCTGCAGACTCGCGAATATCAAACCTCGCCTGTATCCACCGCCGCCTAGGCGAGGTGGCGAGGCTGGAGGAGAGCTCGCACTCGACTCGTGCGCGCGAGTCGGCAGTGTCAATCGCGGCTTTACCTCCAATAAGGTTTCCCTTCTTTTTCGGCCATGTCCATGCCATTGACGCGCCCACGTTCCTTCCAGGGGCTGGGTCTGATGGGCGGGTTTCGAGTGCTGTGGTCTTGTCGCGCGGCTACAGAAAGGACGGGAACCAACCCACCAAATCACTGCCAGCTCCCGCAACATGGACCCCACCACAGCCCGCCCGCAGCCCTCCATAATCTCAATCTTTATTTGCGTCCGTCTGGTGGGTCCTGTCACCAGCGCTGGAGCCCCGGTCCGTCCCCTCCAGTCCCCTCCAGGCTCCATCGCAGGTGTCTCGGCTCTGTCAGCGCACTTTTGGTGGTGTGCCTGCCTAACCATCAGCCCCTCCTGGCCTCCTGTCATCATTTGCTGGGCCTTTGTTTTTGGCGTCGAGAGGAGCGACGCAGGCGTAGGGTGTGTGCCGTCCCATTGGGCCCTGTGAATGGATTAAAGCTCTCCGTCGCCCGCATCTGATATCAGCGCAACGTTTCCGCGCTACAATAAGTCCAGTAGACCACCCCGTGATCCCCCTCCAGCGGCCGCGACTTGTCCAATCCCAGCCGTGCCCTCTTTTTTCTTTCACTTTCCAGGGCCCCAAGCATCGTCTTGCCTCTGCGCCAATCTTTATATACGTCTCGCTCTACTATTGCTTGTTGGCGTTGTTGGTTTGCCTGGTCGCATTGCCCCTGGTCTTTGAAGTGCCAACTGGAGACCTGTCGCGCCGCGCCTTATCGTTGCCCCTGCAGCCCCTGGTCCAGTTCCCCGCCCCCTCATCAAAGGCAGCCCCCCCCTTCGCTAAGAGGCACTACTGTTCAAGAATCTCAACTGCCACCATCCGCGCCAACACCACCACACTCACGGCACGCTTCCTTTTTATCGACAGCCTTCCCGCCCCGCTGGTCGATTTGTCCTCGTCTCGCTCACCTCCAACCCCGCGCTCAATCCGACCCCGTCCTAGCGAAACCCCTGCTGCGGCCGGCAGCACCCACATAGCACAATGTCGGATCTCCAGGGCCGGAAGGTCTTCAAGGTCTTCAACCAGGACTTCGTCGTGGACGAGCGCTACACTGTGACCAAGGAATTGGGCCAGGGTGCCTACGGTATCGTGTGGTACGCATCATCGCCCTCCCTCAGGCCCCTCCTTGTTCTCGTACCAGCCAAACAGCCACGATGCGAAATACCCCTTCTCCTGTTGATGCTGACAACCCCTCCTTTTCGCCACTGTAGCGCCGCCGTCAACAACCAGACCAGCGAGGGTGTCGCCATCAAGAAGGTCACCAATGTCTTCAGCAAGAAGATTCTCGCCAAGCGCGCCCTGCGCGAGATCAAGCTTCTCCAGCACTTCCGTGGCCACCGCAACGTTCGTGCCTCACCCTATCTTCCCCTGCACTAGTCCGTGAACGGCGAGTGTTTGTGTCCCAGGTCCTCGTGCGCGCGCGTCGCACAAGCCAACCAACACGCGGGTGCTGACATTGGCTGTCGCTGTTAGATCACATGCCTCTACGACATGGACATCCCGCGCCCTGACAACTTCAACGAGACATATCTCTACGAAGGTATGTTGTTTTTTCTCCCAGAGCCCGTGGACGACCTCTTGTCGCTGAATCCAGGCGGCCCCTCCGCTCGACCGACCTGGCGGTCAGGCCAGGATACAATATCCTCAGGGGCGCGCAAACAAGTGCAAGCTGGCTAACCGCTTGCGCTTTTGCGCCTGCCTGCCGAACAGAGCTCATGGAGTGCGATCTGGCGGCCATCATCCGGTCGGGCCAGCCCTTGACGGACGCACACTTCCAGTCCTTCATCTACCAGATCCTGTGTGGCCTCAAGTACATCCACTCTGCCAACGTGCTGCACCGTGATCTGAAGCCCGGCAACCTGCTCGTCAACGCCGACTGCGAGCTCAAGATCTGCGATTTCGGTCTCGCCCGTGGTTTCTCAGTCGACCCTGAGGAGAACGCTGGCTACATGACGGAGTATGTCGCCACGAGGTGGTACCGCGCCCCTGAGATCATGCTTAGCTTCCAGAGCTACACCAAAGCGAGTAAGTTGAAATGTCACCCGCGCCGGTCTTGTTTGCAAGGTGAAGCCCGAAACATGGGATGGCCGCTGTCGTGTGAAACTGACACTCGAGCACTTTCCTCCTCCAGTCGACGTCTGGTCAGTAGGCTGCATTCTCGCCGAGCTCCTGGGCGGGCGGCCTTTCTTCAAGGGCCGGGACTACGTCGACCAGCTGAACCAGATCCTGCACATCCTCGGCACCCCCAACGAGGAGACGCTGTCGCGCATTGGCTCGCCGCGTGCCCAGGAGTACGTGCGCAACCTGCCATTCATGGCCAAGAAGCCCTTCCGCTCGCTCTTCCCCAACGCCAACCCGGACGCCCTCGACCTGCTCGACCGCATGCTCGCCTTCGACCCGTCCTCGCGCATCTCGGTCGAGCAGGCCCTCGAGCACCCATACCTCCAGATCTGGCACGACGCCTCGGACGAGCCCGACTGCCCCACCACCTTCAACTTCGACTTCGAGGTCGTCGAGGACGTTGGCGAGATGCGCAAGATGATCCTGGACGAGGTCTACCGCTTCCGCCAGATGGTACGCACCGCGCCCGGCGCCGGCGCCGCGGGCCAGCCCCAGGCGCCCCAGGTCCCCATCCCGGCGGGTGGCGCCCAGGGCCAGTGGAAGGCCGAGGACCCCCGCCCCCAGGAGTACATGGGCCAGATCACCGACCTCGAGGCTGAGCTCGCTGGCGGCCTGGACGGCAGGAGGTAAAGGAGATTGGGTGCTGATGGTGGTAAGATGTCTTGTTCGGCCCGCATCCCAGAAGGGTGTCGAAAGGCGTGGAATTTCCAGAGGCAGGAAAGCACGGGGGCTTTCGGCTGGAAAATAGAAAAACTACTCTGTTGTTGGATTTGGGTATCCTGAGGTCGAGAATCAGACTACTATCTAGTGTTCTTGATGTATTAAAAGTCACCCTGGATCTTCTTGTCTTGTCCCCTTTTCTCCTCCTTCGGTTCTTCACTGTTCTGTGGTCTCTTACTGGCCGTTTTCAAATTTGAAGATGGGAAGGATTTGAGCAGATAAAAAGATGCGTAAGTTCTTCAATGTCACTGATGTTTGTTTGAAAGAGGTTGGGCTAGTACTCTGTGGTTTTGCCCCTAGGATGTTCAGCGTAGTAGCCACCTACCTCTAGTGTCTGATAAAGAAACGCAAATAGGTGAACTGGGAAATGCCTGTCATGGAATCGCTACGTCGACGCTCCTGCCATCTCAACTCTCAAACCGAACGACACTAGTCTCGGGTGACTTACCCATCCACCGGCGCACGCAGCTCCCTGAACCACTCGTGCTCCAACAGCTCAGCCGTCGACGGCCTCTCCTCGGCCCTCCACCGCAGCATCGACAGGATCATGCGCACAAAGGCGGCCAGGTCCTCGCCGTCCATGCCCGCCGGCCTCGCCAGCCGGCCCTGGTCCCAGATGTCGCCGTAGCGGTAGTCGCCCGGCTCGGCGGGCTCCCCGTACACCTCGAGCGAGTTGTCTATGGCGGCGCCCTCGGCGTCGATGTAGCGGTCGACGTCGGGCCACAGCGGCCGCATCTCGGGCGGGAACCCGCCGCCGACGCGCTGCGCCAGGTCGCGCAGCAGCTGGGACTTGGCCGCCGCCTTGCCGGGCCCGTCGTCGTGGCCGCCAAACATCTCCTCGACCAGCGGCTGCGCCATGACGTGCTCCCAGAGCAGCAGGGCGAGCGAGTACACGTCCCCGCGGTGCGAGCACGGGCGGCCCAGCAGGCGCTCGGGCGGCATGGCCTCGAGGCAGCCGGGCGCCCGGGCCGCCTCGCAGTCCTCGAAGACGGCCGCGTAGCCCAGGTCGGCCAGCACGGCGAGCCGGACGCGCCGGTCTCGGTACGAGGGCGCCGACAGCGGCGAGCTGGCCACCGTGTACCGGATCTCGCCGCGCGCCGGCGGCCGGCGGTCCGCGCGCTGCAGGAGCTCGACCCGTCCCCGGCTGTTGACGAGGTTGGCCCGGTTCCAGCTGGGCGTGTGCGGCTCCGCCGAGAGGTCGCCCGGCTCGGCCAGGAGCTCGGCCCACTGCTGGGCCGAGAGCCGCTCGCAGTGCAAGAACGAGGCCAGCCTGTACGAGGAGGAGGTGGATAATGCCGAGGACGAGCACAAGGAGTCATCATGGTCGAGACTGGGAGGCCTGGGGAGGGCCTCTACCCCGGCGTTGCCGTCGTCGAGGGTGGGCGCCTCTGCCACGGCGTCGTTGGGGATGATGGGCGCCTCCTCGTCCGTCTCGTCGTCCGACTCGGCCAGCTCCAGCCCGTAATCTTCCGCCTCGAACAGTCGCTGCCGACGGACTTGGTTGGCTGCATCGGAATTCGCGCCGGCCCAGAGATTCCTTTGGATCTGGTTCTCGGTGAGTGTGTTGAGGTGGTCCAGCCGCAACGAAACACACACGTTTTCTATCCGGATATCTCGGTGCGCCACCCCCCGGCTGTGCAGGTAGTCGAGCCCCTGCAGCACCTGGTAGCACGTCCTCTTGATGGCCCCGATCTCGCGGTCGGGGCCCAAGGGTGTGCTCGGCCGGTCGGCTTCATCATAATCACCGGTCACGTTCCGATACATGACACGCTCGATCATGCTTCCGAGGTTCCTGCCGAGGGGCTCGACGACCTTGACCAGGTGCCCTTGGTCGCCGCCGCCAGGGCCCCAGACGATGAAGGCGTCGGAGGCTATCTCGACGTAATTCCTCCCAGGGTGGTCTGACCCCCCGTGGTCCAGGCGCCCGCGAAGGAGACATTCCACCCTGCGCCCCGTCCTGGTCTCCCGGGCGGAGTACACTTTGAGGGCCACATAGCGGCGCTCCGGCACGCTTCAGTCATGGGAGGGTCAGCCACGTCCACGCCAAGCTCGCTCTATGTGGGTAGCTGGACTTACCCTTTGTCCCTTGCCAGCCAGACGGTGCACTGAGCGCCAACTCCCAGCTTGCGGAAGATGTGATAGCGTCCCTGGAGGACATCGCCCAGGTGAATAGGGCAAAACCCGCCAGGCCGGTACTCTACAGATTGCTCCTATGTGGTGATTTCCAGTGAGCTAAGGAAGAACACAGGAGACTGGAAAATTGCTAGGCGAAACTTACGCCTTGGGGAAAGAAGTTCATGTAAATCGACTGAGGATGCATGGTTAAGGATGTGTCGGAGTGATGACTTGCTTGGCTTTTTGAAGCTGAATAGACCGAATCTCGAGTAAAAGTGATCCAGTTCCTATGACCAAGATGATGGAATGACACTAAATCAACTGGTTGAATTTTGGGCATGCAGACTCATGCATTTAGTAGGGCGGAGGGACAACATCTCTCCTGAGCACCTAAGCAGCAGCCGCGAACTTTCGAGGTGCAAGAATCTGGGGCAGGCACACAAGGTTATGAGTTGGCCATGGAAAGAGGAAGTGCGGCGCAAGGATAGTTTGTCATGTACATATATGGCGCTGGCCAGGTGAGATCCCTCCTCCGGTCTACTGATACAAGACTAAATGCTGATGGGAAGGCGGCACCGAGCTGGAAGCCATGGGAAGGGCAAGAAGTCACAAAGGTAGATTCAGGGGCATGAGTATCATTGGGGAGCTTAATGCGGCAGGGGCTTGGTGCAGACGCCTTGAGCGAGAAGGTATAGTTGGCGGTGCTGTAAATGGCTGACAGACTGACTTCGATCTAGTGGAGGTATAGCTGCTCGGAAACTGCTTGGCCTTGCTTTGACATGGCTCCCTCACCTCGTCACCGCTGATAATCCCAGACGCATTACGTCCTCCCCAACACCTATACCCGACTAACTGGTTGATCTCAGACATAATGGGCAACTAGGATATCTATCTCATCCAAAAAAGAATAATGATATAAGCTCCAACAGTCTGTTGGCAGTGGTGGGGGTGGAGAGTTCTTTTTATACTGGGGGCTTTCGGCGTTGCGTTTACACAAGCCATCAGAGTCTGGCGTCAATTGTGAATTGCCATGGATTTAACAATGACATAACTGGCGGAGCTGAATTGAGCGATTGCGTTGGTGTGTGGTCCTTGCGCCTGTCAGATCCGCCAAACAAACGCTCGCGCTCGGATCATCCGTGATAGGTCAGGCGGGCTGGAAGCAAAGGCGCGAACAGACTTTGTCTTTGCTTCGCCATTGTCGGACATCCTGAAGCGCGTGTTGCCTAGGTATTGTAAGAATTGGCGGCCTAGTTAGTACGTAGATGTGCCTAATTGGTGTCCTTTGAAAGGAGACATCCGTAGCTCGCTCTCGAGACCTGGTTCTCTGAATGCTGGCTTCCTCCCAAATCGCCCAGCCAACAATGATGAGAGCCAAGGGCGGTTCCAACGCTCGGGCCAAGTGCGGAGGCTGACCCATCAGCCCACCCTCGCCGTCGTCCCGTCGTTGTCTGGGAGGGGGTCCGACGCTGGTGGTACGTACCTCTGCGTCACGTGAACCACTTCCCGCATGCTGGCCCACAGCGCCTGGTCGGCCTGCGCTGCCCAGCCACCAGCTTTTTGCACCGGCCGACAGGACAGGGTCAGAGATTGGGTCACGGCTGCTGCTTGTCCTGTCGGCACCACACCTTTCTAGTTCCCCTCCCCAAACCTCGCATTTCCCTCCCTTCTCCCACACCCCGATCGCCAACCGCGCCCGTCGCGTCCTGTCCTTGCTGTCCATTGCAACTTGCTTTAATCCCAATTTTGTTTTTGTTTTTGTTTTTTGGTCTTTTTTTGGTCTTTTGACCTCACTTTCTGGCCAAGCAGGAGGGCACGGCTCCCCACCATTGCGCGCGCGAAACATCGCCTTGCGCCGCGACCGTTGCTGTTTTCCGAGTCGCGCGCGCGCTCACGCAGCAAATCCGCTCCCCCAAAAAAAAAAACACGCGCGCGCATCTCTTGTTTACCTCCGCCACTACTCGTCCCACCTCGAGCACCACACCGCACACACCAGGCTCTAGCCCTGTCACCCCTGTCTTGGGTCTGGCAATCGAAGTCATCATCGGGCTTTTTAGAAGGGTGCTTGCCGGTGCAAGCGAGTTCGCCGTTGCTATCCCCGCGCCGCCGCCGCCGCCGGCACAGTCGACAACATGTTTTACTCAGACACTCTCGTCAACCAGACGGGGCCATTGGCCCGCGTCTGGCTGGCTGCCAACATGGAGCGCAAGCTCTCCAAGGGCCACATTCTGAACTCCAACCTCAGCAAAAGCGTCGAGGACATCATAAGACCTCTCGACAACGCGCCGCTCGCCCTCCGCTTCAGCAGTCAGCTATTGCTTGGCGTCGTCAGAATCTACAGCCGCAAAGCGCGCTACCTGCTGGACGACTGCAATGAAGCACTGATCAAAATCAAGATGGTAAGGCGCAGCGTCCACACCCTTGGGGATCAGCGCTCCCTACTCCGTGCTCATGGCGCGAACCTGTTTTGCTGACCACTCCACAGACCTTTCGATCAACGGGAAATAATGATCTCCCTGTCGGCCAACATGTGCCGAACCGCGAGGCACTGATGATTCCTGATCGAATCACACCACTCGACAACCTTGATCTCCTGCCAGCTCCAAACCTAGACGACTTCACATCATCACAAGTCGGCCGCAGGGGACGCGTTAGCCACCGCGACATCAACCTGCAGGAGGACTTCAACAATAGCCAATTTTTGCAAGACGATGAGCCCGAGGATGAGCTCCAGCTCACCGTCGTTGAAATGGAGGACCTTGATCTGGAGCTGGACTTTGGCATGGACCTTGACCTCCCTGTCGGCGATAAGAGCATTGAAATGGGTCGTGACGCGCCCGCTGCGAGGAGCGTGGAGGACGACCTGGTCAGCGAGCTGGCTGCACCGTCCAAGGAGCCCGAACGCGAGCTTTCTCTTGACCTCGAGTTTGGCGACGAGCGGGTTCGTATCGCCGATACCGAAGGCGACGTGCCAATGTTCGACGACGACTTCGAGTTCAACCTGGGCGACCAGTCGGCTATGCCCCAGGGCCACATGGGCGCGGTGCCCCCCGAGCGGGCCCGCATCTCTGAGTCGCCGCTGTCCGACATCGACCCCGAATTTGCCAACGAGATCGAGATGGAATACACGCGCACCATGAACGAGGACATGTACGAGCCTGGCAACGACACGGAGCAGACGGTGGTCGCAAAGGCACCGCAGAGGGCCAAGAAGCGACGTCTGCTCGTTGCCGATTCCGAGACTATGCTCACCAGCAACCACATCCGTGAGCAGCAAGCGCACCACGAAAACATCCTGAAGCCACAATCTTTTGTTCCTCGCGAACCCTACCTCCTCGCCCTCATCGAAATGCAGAAGAATGGCGGCTTCGTCACAAACGTGATGATGGACGCGCGCAGCGACTTCTGGGCGCCCGAGCTGAAGGGTCTGCTGTCTCTGGCGGCGATCCGCCCAGTGAACGACCTGAAACGCAAGAGGGATAGCGGGATCGCCGATATCGGTAGCGAGGACGAACAGGGCGAGCCCAAGTCTCCTCGCCTCGAAATTGGCGGAGAACTCGAATCTTTCGCCCTTGGAGCCGACGATACTGGAATCCAGTCCGCTGGTGGTGATGGAACCGTTCTTGAAATACCTGCAGACGAGGGCTACGATGCCAATGACGATACCATCAGGCCCGCCTCGCGTGAAGGAGGCAGCCCGATGCCCGCATTTGACGACACGGTCGCACCAATCGTTCACCCGGCCGACGGTGGTCCCATCTCCATCGGAACGAGGCACGCCGTCCATATCCTGCGCGACCTGTTTGGCCCCGAAGCCGCCACGGACGAGGAGAAGCGGAAGACAACGTCGGTCGTTTTCCAGGAGCTCCTTCCTGAGAGCCGGACTACCAAGGCGGATGCGACCAAAATGTTCTTCGAGTGCCTTGTTCTTGCCACCAAGGATGCGATCAAGGTCGAGCAGCCAGAGGGCCAGCTCGGCGGCCCGCTCCGGGTGCGTGGCAAGCGGGGTCTCTGGGGCGCATGGGCTGAGCGGGAGGCCGGAGGCGAGCTGGCCGAGGAGGAGGAGGATGAGGAGGCGGCGGTACCCCAGTCAGCCCCACAGCCGGCTGTGAGCAGTGCCTCGATGGTGTCTGTCGAGGCATGACGGCAGCATCCTACAATTGTATAACCTTCCGTTTCTATTTCTCAACACTCTTGCTACAGCATCGAGTTTCCTTCCTTTGTACATAGTGGATCGGCATGGAGGAGGAAGCTCTTGGGGTGAGGCTAGGGTTTGGTGTTGGCTGTTTTTCTACTTTTGGATGGTTGCTTTTTTGTGTCACGCGACCAAGTGGCGTTTGGCGTCTGGAATCATTTTTAATCTAGGGGGATACCACTTGTCACTCGGAAAAAAGGGGCAAATTCGTGATTCGGCTTTTACAAAGAATATGTTGTGTTCACAGTTCCTCCTACAGCCCTGCGTCCAGAAGGCGTTCCATTCCGGTTATCAGCTAGGAACACGGCGTGTCATGGAAACCACGCTCTCACAGAGACCCATGAGACCAGTCGCGGGTTTCTTTTTATAATACGTCAATATGGAAATGACGGAGGGAGACATTCTAGCTAGCAAGCCCATTACTAGGTATTTTGGCACCTTCCAAGATAAGTCTTTAGGATAGGATACACAAGATCAAATCCAGGTGGGCGTTTATGTAGAATATAATCATGCAACGACGCGTCGTTTTATATGGATTTTCTAAACGGGGTGGTTGCGATCCCATATCACCTGTTTATTGTACCATTCAACGGTGTACTTTGTGTCTTTTGGCCTGTCTAACATGTCTCGACTCCAGGCAGCAAACGGCTTGTGAGGGTGCCCCACCTGCCGGCCTGGCACTATCATTATCACCCCACCGCCGCTGCCATTCACGCCGGCCAAGGCGAAAACAAGACGCCAACAACACACGGAACAGGCTCCCAAGCAAAATCATAAATTGAAACACTGGCCCTCACCATCTAATGCTTAGCTCCCCATAAATAAGATTCAGAGCAACAGCACAAGATCAAAGATGCCCGCGCCCAGCCCGCTCGCCATCGCGAGCCAGTCCGTCTCGCGCCTGGTCAAGGAGGAGGCCTACTACCGCAAGGAGCTCGAAGGCCAGAACAAGAAGGTGGAGGAGGAGCGGGCCAAGCTGTCGGCCGACGCGACCTACAATGATAACTTTATGCTGAAGCAGCTTGTACGTTTGCTCACGATAACCCTTTTTTCTTTCTCTTTTTCCTTCTTTTTCCTTTCATCACATGCTCAACCTATGCAACTACGTGCAACTCATGGGCTGACGAAATAACTACGCACGCACAAAACAGGAGACGGGCGCTAGGGAGACCGAGGCCGTCTTCGGCCCGCTTCTGACAAAAGTCGAGGACGCCGTGGCCAAGCTCGAGGAGCAGATGGCCATCAGCGAGAGCGACGGCGGCGCCCCGGACGCGGAGCTCCAGAAGGCGCGCGAGGCCCTCGCGGCCGGCAAGGCGCTGCAGCAGAAGGGGGCCGCAGGCGAGGCCGCAGCTGCGAGCTAGACTGGGCGGGGTGCGCTACTTGAGGAAGGTCTGGTGCTGCCTTGGTCGGCGTCGAGGGTAGGCCTTGTTGGGCCAATTGGCAGAACGAGCCGGAAGGCAGACTGCAAGCGGCTTTGGTGAGCAGAGCAGAGGCGCGCGCGTGTTCTGGTCTAAGATGTTGTGTGAAAAAGGCGTGACCAGAGGGAAAATGCGGTTACACCACGGCAGCACTAGGACGAATTTGCATAGCTGACACCCCACGCTATTCCTGCATGCCAGTTACTCTTTGATCGTGGTAAGACTGTGGATCCGCCAGATAGTTCACCGGAGGGTATAATTAATCATTTAGATGCTTCGCGACTGGGTAAACATCTAGGCGGAGGTCCTGGACGTGGTCGCACTCTTCTATCTCGCAACATTTCCCACAACCCATATCCATTGATCATGTCGTGTCCATCTTCTCCTCGAGGCCCGGTGTGCCGGCCGCCGATGCCTGGCTCTCGTCGTTGCCGCCCCTTGGGGTGTCGTCGGCGGCCGCGCCAGCATCGCCCATGTCGACGTCCTCCTCCCTCCTACCTTCGCCGTCGTCGCCCTCCTCTGGTGCTGGGGTCGCGACAGAGGTCGCCATGGGGGTGGCGGCCGACGTGCCGTCCTGGCTCTGCGGGCGGCTGCTGCCGCCGGTCCCCGACGCATCGGGCCGCGGCTTGAGCATGTCCTGGGGCGCGGGGCTGTCCCTAGCAGGCGTCCGGCCCCCAAACGACGAGCCGGACCTGCCAGCCGACGATTCGGCCGCCTCGGCCGCGAGGCCCGCCAGCACCTTGGGCGGCAACAGGCTATTATTGCTCCCGCCACCGCCACCGCCACCGCCGCCGCCGTGCGGCATCGGGGTCACGTTGCCGCTAGCAACGCCCGGGCGCGGAGTCTGGCCGTCGACGGCGGCGTCGTCCTCGCGCTCGTCGCCCATGCCCTCGCGGCGGTCGACCTCGTCGGCCTCGTCGCGGATCTGGCGGCGCAGGCGCATGCTCTCGTCCATGATGCGGGCGAACTGGTCGCGGCGCTCGCGCCACGTGGCGGCGTACTGGGCGCTCTCGGCCTCGAGGTTGGCGCACTCGTCCTCGAGCTTGGCGAGCGCGTGGTGCTGCTCGGCCCGCGGCCGGAGCGCGCGGTTGCTCGTGATGCGGTCGGCCAGGTCGTCGAAGCGCCGCCGCCGCTCCAGCTGCGCGCGCGCGCCGTCGAGCCGCGCCCGGAGGCCCGACGTGCTGTCGCGCACCGCCGCGCACTGGTCCAGGATCGTCTGCCGGTCCGCGTTGTAGCGCGCCCGCTCCTCGGCGTTGGCGTTGAGGAGCGACTGGAATCGTGCGACGGTGAAGTCGAAGGCGGCAAAGTCGAGCGTCACCTCCTCGCGCAGCGCCGCGAGCTCCGCCGCCACGGCCGGGTCCGGCTGCGAGCTGGCGGGTGTGATGACGGCGGATGCGGGCGTCGTCGGGCTCGTTGGCTGGCTCGGTGGTGCCGAGGTTGCTCCGTTCTGCTGTGGTGGGTTGCTGTTCGCGGGCGGCTTCCCCCACTTGGCGATGGTGTGTGCCGTTTGCATGCGCTTAGTTATGCGCAGGAACGGCCGCTCCTCGACGTTGAGGAGCCGCGTCTTGTGGAGGTTCTCCTCCTCCTTGGGCTCGAGGAGGTGCCATGGTGCCATTGTGGTCGCGTTTGCGATGGCGATTGCGTGACCGCAATGATGGGTATGGTATCAATCCACAAAGGCGGAACGTGTGGGAAACTCTCTTCGATATCGAGTCCGCGGGGGCGGCAGGCCGTCAGTTGTCGCGGCGTCTGGACCTCGGCGGCTGTTTGCGAGGCTGGAGTCAAATCTCCAAAATTCCGATGGTCGGGTCGTGGATTTGAGTTCGCGTCAGCGGCAGCGCCGCCTAGTGGGCGCGGTGGGACTAGACCAGCTGCAGCCAACCCTGGAATTGCCCGAAATAGGTTGGCTGGACCCAGAACTTGGTGGCCCAAGCGCGCGTTCCAGACGGCAGACTCGCTGCAGCCAGCGGGGACGGGACAGCACCTGGCTGGCCGCAGGCAAGCTGAGCTCAGCGGCGCAGCCCCATCGGGTCGCCTCGCCTCGGATGGGTCTCGCTCACTCTCTCACTCACCTTCCTACCTCCTCCGTTTTGACTTTGATTCTTTCAACATCAATACCATTTTTAACTTCGATCACGAGCGAAATTCGGACGGCGGATTTTACGGGAATGTGGTCGTTTGAGCTAAACCTACCGTTATAGGAGTTCCGCCACTCCAAAGGGCGGCCCAAGGGACTAGAAAGCCAGTCGGAAACAGCCTCCAACGTCCCGTGGTCTTTCAACCGTCTGTTTCTGCACGTGGCTTTGGGCGGTCTCATTGTCTACCTTATATGTTCATTTGGTCTCCTTCTTTCATCCGAGCGTCGGGCTGCTGGCTTCTCCCTTCACTCATCCATCCAACTTCGTCCCCTTCGACTATTCTTTTCAGCATTTTAAAGCGAGCAAAGGGAATTCCAGACCCTACTCACGTCAGCAAACCAACTCACAGCCGTCCTGACCAGCTTCGCTAAACCTGTGCCGTTACCCACCTCTTGACGGCCAGCTGCAAGACGACCCCTGTTATTTCTCCCCTCTGTCCAAAACCACAAACGGCAGACGCAAAGATGCCTGCCAAATCCCTAGTCGCCCTCGCTCAGCGGGAGGCCATCAAAAACATTGGGCAAATCGACAACCTTGGCTATGCCCCCTACAGCCTCGTCCGGCCCATCCTGCTCAAGGTGCCCCGGGCGGAGCAGCTGCTCCGTATCGAGGAGAACAGCCCGCACCTGACCGAGGACACGGCCGAGGTGTGGAAGTACATGATCAAGCGCGACTTCGCGCGGGCGTCGGAGAAGAAGGGCTACGTGCCCAAGAACCCGCTCTCGTGGGGCAAGGTGTACATCAAGTACCAGCGCGAGCGCGAGGAGGAGAACGCGGCGGCCGAGGCCCTGCTGAGGAACGAGATGAACGCGCTCAGGCAGGAGCGGGCGTCCAAGGAGACGCGCGTGCTCCGGCCCGGGGAGGTGCCCTACGAGTTCCGCAAGGCCACGGCCGTCGGCGCCTTCACCCGCTTCGGCGGCGCCCCCAGCGGGGCGCCGAGGTCTCAGAGCAACCTGACGTGGGGCGGCGGCGCGCGCACAAAGAACGTCATGAAGAAGGTCAAGCGCGAGGTGGCCGAGCTGAGCAGGCGCAACGTCATCTCGGGCCAGCTCGCCGCCCGCCGCGGCCAGATCTCGCAGGCACCCAAGACTATGCTCAACGACCACCGCATCTCCAAGAACCCGGACCTGCCGGCCGACAAGTCCATCGTCGCCCCCAGGCCCCCGGGAAGCATCCTGGCCAAGGGCCGCACCGACATGGAGTCCCGCCTGCTCCGCGCTAAGCAGCAGGCTGCCCGGTCCGGCAGCGGCGCCGGCGCGTCCGACCCCTCATCCTCCTCCCGCCTGTCAAAGCCGCCACCCCCAAAGCGGCCCCAGGTCGAGCTGGCCGACGACGACCTGGAGATAGATGACGACGCGCTCTTTGGCATAACCGAGCCCGCCGCCAAGCCCTCAAAATCCGCCTCCGCCCCGTCAAGGAAGCCCCAGCCGCCCGCCCGCGGGGGCCTCTCGCCCGGCTTCCTCGACGACGAGTCCTATGAGAACGATGAAGATCTGTTCGGCGAGAAGGCGGAGTCGGCGCTCTCTAAGAGGCCCGCCAGCCGCGCCCTGCCGCCCAGGGTCGCCGCCGGGAGTCCGCCCACAGCGTCTCGCAAGCGGCCCAGTGGAGGGGACATCTTCATGCGGTCGGCAAAAAAGGCCCGGTGAAACAGAACCTGATCCGGGCTGCTTTTCTTTTTCGACACGGTAGTCATTATTCATCAGGCTGATCACTCCTGGAAGTCTTGTTCGATTTTTTATATCTTTTTTATTCTTTTTTATTTTTTATTTAGCATTCTTGTTTCTCGTTCTTGATGTTTTAATGGGCTGGTCTTGTCTGATCTCTCTGAGTTTCAACGTTACGCTTCTCTGCGCATAGATGTAGAGCGTCGTTTTTTTTATAGTTTTTTTTTATCTCTTTCATCTAAATCTCATGGTTAGTGGTAGTTGTGCTGGATTCTGCATATAGATGCAAAGCATCAGTTCGGAGGCGTTTTGGGATATATCTTCTGTTCAATGAAATCAACGAGCTGCTACCCGTTTATGAGGTAAACTCGGGTGTTGTTGGAGCTTCTACTGCTTACTGCGATTATGAATGATAATCTGTTTGACGCCAGATCCTCTACTTCGCTCAACTAAAACGCGTCCCGGGCAGAAGCCTCTTGGCGATGCCGCTGATCAATCGAGGCATACAAGGGGCATAAAACAACCCGACTTTCGGCTGTTCTAATGGGTGACGCGAGGACGGGATATCACTACTGTCTACTCTTGTTTCTCCTATGTTTGTCGATCCGCCATCTGTAGGCAGGGTGTCCAGCCAACTCTATCCGTACTTCAGAGCCCCCTATCCCCTCAGCACCCTCCACGCAGCGCCAGGACAAGATGCAGGGTGGCGCCACCCTCGAGGGCGTAGTCGGATGCGGTCTTGTCATCGACCCTGGAAAGTGCAAGCAAAGTAGGGAATGTCAGTCCGGGCCTTCTCTTCCTTGTCACACCGGCACTCACATTTGCTTGCCGCCAAAGATCAGCCGTTGCTGAACGGGCGGGATGCCCTCCTTCTCCTCGACCTTCTCCTTGATCTGAGAGACCTGCGTTTTTTTTTCGACGTCTTCCCGTCAGCCCGCGCTCACGCCCACACCCACATTCATCCCCAAACGCCATGCCCTCCTGATAGTCGCGGTGGGGTCCAGCATAGGCCTTCCGGCTCGGCCCATCCCCTTTCTCACAAGGCCTTCCGAGATTTTGCTCCTGCAAGACGAGGCGTATCGCACATGACGATGTGTGACACGCCACCATTGTCGTCATCGCCGTCGTCGTTGTCGTCGCCGTCATCGGTGTACTTGGCGGCGTGTCGTGCGTTCGGGTCGTCGAGGGGGGATTGCCAAACAGCACGACGGGCAAAGGAACGTACCTTGTATTCGCTCTCGATGTCGAGCTCGATCTCCTTGCCCGTGAGCGTCCTGACCCTGTTGTGGTTGCATTCCTTGGTCAGCATTTCGCTACTCCGACAGGTACCCTGAGGTAACCACCCCGAACGAGAGAGCGGGGCATGCGCACTTGATTAACATGGCGGCGGTGGTGTTTCCGAGACTCGCTTCTGCCCGGTCGGTTTCCTGCGCGGTAGGATGTGGTTCCGAGGGCTCGTTCGCTGCTGTCGGAGGTCGCGCGTGTAAAAAAAAAAAAAGATGCAGAGAGTTGGTGGAGGCACGGTTGGGGATCCCCAGCGCACGGCAGCCGCGTGCTGTTGGATCAGACGTGATGACAGGGGAGGTAGGAGGGGTGTTTGGTGGGGCACGCCAGGCTGACGCTCGAATAACAGCAGCCTGCGGCTCAAGCAACGCTACAGTTGAGGAGCTTCCATTCTAGAACGTATCTTGCAAGTTTTTTTTATTGCTTGTTCTACACCTCCTGCTATTTCATAGTATCTCTTATTCCCTTTCCTATTTCCTGTACCTTGGGTACCATTGCATATAAAAAGCATCAGAAATCCATAGAGTGGGATTATAGTACGGCTTTTCATAGCTAATTTACACATGGGCTCCCAGCTTGCCGTCACTTGAGAGTATGTATGCTTTTGGTGCTTTACAAGGGGGAGATAAGGATGCGCCTGCCATGAACCCATGGAGAAAATAACCCGGAAAATGGAACGCGAAACAAGGAATTTGGCCACCTAGACCCAGAGAAGAGAAGAAAGTGGAAGGCGCTTTAGAGTTTAGTCCTTCTTGCTGCTATCGGCCTTCTCGAATACGTTGAGGCCAAGACCCTCGGCGTCGAGCAGCAGCCTGTTGCGGCCCCCGGCGTCCTGCAGCGACTGGGCGATGGCCCGCGCGTTCTCGAGCTTCTTGAGCTCCACGTAGGCCTTGCTCTTCTTGATGGCCTCGCCGATGAGCTCGGCCGAGCGGGCCTCACCCTGCGCCTTGACCACCATGGCCTGCTTCTCCTGCCGTGCCTTGTCCACCACGAACGCGGCACGCTGCGCCTCCTGCTGCGCGACCTGCTTGGCCTCGACGGCCGCCGTGAACTCGGGCGAGAAGGCGAGGTGCTGGGGTTGAGGGGAAGCTTATGTTAGCAACGGGCAGTCGGACCCTGACAAAATGGGAAATATAGAGCATACCGTGAGCGAAACGTCTTCCAGCACAATGTTGAAGCGGGCCGATCTCCTCGACAGATTCTCGCGCACCAGCCTGGCGACCATCTCACGCTGGGTGATCAGCTGGCTGGCGTTGAACTGGGCGACGACGCTCTTGAGCACCTCATTGACGATGGAGGGCAGCACGCGCTCGTCGTAGTCGGAGCCCAGGGTGCGGTAGATCTGCGGCAGGGCGTTGACGTCGGGGCGGGACAGGACACGGCAGGTGATGTTGACCATCTGTAGGTCCTTGGTGCCCGTGAGAGACGACACGTTGCGCGGCTTGGCCCGCACGTCGTACACGATCGGCGTCTCGAACCAGGGGATGGCCAGGTGTGTTCCTGTTGCGAGGGTGGGGGGGATGTTAGATGGCGGCCAGGTGCATGGGCAGACAGAGAGGGGTAATGTGTGACGACTGACCCTCGCCGTAGATCTCCTTGCTCACGCCGCTTATCCTCCGGTACTTGATGGCGCGGTGGCCGCCGTCGACGTTGAAGAGCGAGTTGGAGATGACGTACAGCCCCGCGCCGCCGGCCAGGACAGCCGCGACCAGGCCTGCGCCGGGCGGGCTGCCACCCCCGGGGAAACGGCCGCCGCTGGCGCGCTTCATGCGCATCAAGTACTGCTCCATGGGGTTTGGCCGCGACATGTTGGAGGGGTTGTGTGCGCGTGTGTTGCGCGTGGGTGGGTGGGTGGGTGGTGGTGGTGGTAGGTGGTTTTCTCGTTTCTTTTTTTTCTTCGCTTGCCAGTGGTTCATCCGCCTTCCCGAGAGCTCCGCACTTTGATGCAAAAGAGCTTCGTGATGGCCCCATCAAGTCGCGAATCTTGTGACGCACGGTCCACATCCAACCAGGGCCAGAAGCTCAACCTAGCTGATCACCCCACAGTGGGTCCTGCTGCTTCTCAATGGAGCTCGAGGCGATATGCATGAAATAAATTTAGGCAAAGCCATTCCAGCGCGGCACATACTGGTTCCGACTCTGGATTCTGAACCCGTCAAGAACAAAGCAAGAGCAGCCAGACGAGGCCGTCGCCAAAGGAACAAAGCCAACGAGATTTTACTACGAGATCGCCATATTGCCAGAGTGCATAATGTCAATGCTGTCGTATATAGAAGTCCCAACAAACGACGATTGATTGCCTGAGGCCTGAGGCGCGTGCCGGCGACAAAGAGAGCCGCTCTGTTTTTCTCGCCTCCATCTGCCGCTCACCTTGCGCTTCCACCTTGACGTCTGGGTGACTTGACTTTTCTCCATTCCCTCCGGCTGGCTGTGCTTTTGCTCGTTCCACCGTCCCTGCCCTGTCCCTTTCCTCGTACACATCTTCCCAGCCAGCCAACATGTCGTCGCGACCACCATCGCGGGTGGTCTTCGTGGGCAACATCCCCTACGGTAAACACGCGCCCCAGGACCATACCTCCCACGACACTTCCCCCTTGCGCTCAACCACTAACGCGACCGCCATCGGACAGGCCTCTCTGAGGAGCAAATAACAGATATCTTCAGCCGCGCCGGCAAGGTCATCAACTTCCGCCTGGTCTATGACCGCGAGACGGGCAAGCCGAAAGGCTTCGGGTTCGCCGAGTACCCAGACGCCGATTCGGCCGCTTCGGCGGTGCGCAACCTGAACGACTCGGAGATCATGGGTCGCAAGCTGCGGGTTGATTTCTCTAACGAGGGGCCCGGCGGCGGCGATAAGGACGACGGCCCATCCAACTTCGACCACGGCGGCGGCGGTAACAACGGCAACGGCAACGGCCCGAACCCCAACGGTGGCAACAATAACAACAACAACATTGGCGGCAACCCGGGCCTCCCGCCACTGCCCCCCGGAAAGGACCTGCCCGCGGGCGTGTCGGCCACCGACGCCATCTCGCGCACCCTGCGCACCCTGCCGCCCGCCCAGCTGCTCGACATCCTGGGCCAGATGAAGACCATGGCCGCAGCAGACCCGGCCCGCGCCACCGAGCTGCTGTCCCAGGCGCCACAGCTGTCGTACGCCATCTTCCAGGCCCTCCTGCTCATGGACCTGGTCTCGCCCGACGCCATCCAGTCCGTCGTCGAGCCTGGCGTCCCGATTCCCACCCAGCCCCAGCCGCCACAGCAGTTCCCGCCGGCTAACAACGGCACGCCCCCCGTCGCCGCGCCATACGCGCCACCCGTCGTCCCCATCCAGCAGCAGCCGCCGCCTGCCGCCGCCCCGATGTCCGCCGACACCGACACGCTCATGCAGCAGGTCCTGGCCCTGCCCCAGTCCACCATCGACCAGCTGCCCGAGGCCGAGCGCGCGCAGATTATGCAGCTGCGTGCCAACTTCCTGGGGCAGGCGAGATAGGTCCTGTCTCTACCTGACCTCTGGGCTTGTGGCTTTCACAGCGGCTCCCGGCCCAGGCCAGCAACACAACCCGAACAGCCACTCAGTTCGGACGCCAGCAAGTAGCGAAGTGGTATGACTAGACAGCACCACAAGACTGCGCGCGATAACGGCACCCAACGATAACCTGCCAAAGACGCATTGTAAATCAGGGCCAGTGATCGGACATGACACCCCTTTTAGAATATGCTTGATTTGCATTGTGCCAATGACCAGCATGAGCGGTTCGTGCACTAGGGGACTCGGAGGCGATTGATCCCTCCAGGCCTCGCCTCTTTCCCAGGCCGGGATAGGCCATGCAATGGGGCGGAGATTTGCGGAATGTAATCACGAATAGGAAGAAGAAAATCGAAGAATTATGCACTCAAATTTGACTCTTTGGTATATCCTATTTCACGCCCTAGTAAACATATGACCCAGATATATAGAGAGAGGAAGGGGGGAAAAAGAGAGAAAGGGAACAAGTAATGAGAGAACAGGAAGCACAGGCGAGGACTCTAGTTTCTTCCCCGTTGGCAAAAAGTGAAAAAGCGGTATCTCAGAAAAACTGACGAGACAACAGGCCTAAAATCCTTCCCTCGCCCATCTCTTCCGCCACCTGTCGCTCTCACATCCACTCTCCTCCTATCTCGATAACAAACGCTGTCGAGGGGGGGTTCGATGTCCAGCTCTCCCAAGATGGAAAGATAACACGCAGACAAACTTTTCTGTATCGTTAAGAACAGTGCATGATTCCTGCTGAAAATGTCGATAGTACCATATTAGGTTTATAATAGGCTCGCCGAGCGCACGTCATTCACAGGCCGTAGGCCTTCTTGACGAGCCAGAAGCACAACAGCCCGCCCGTAAAGAGGCACGTCGTGATCCAGAAGAACCAGCGCAGGTCCCCCTCCATATCCTGGCCCGGCACCCAGACGTTCATCCCCCAGAGGCCCGTGACCAGGTTCATGGGCAGCACGATGGTGCCCAGGATGGTCAGCTTGCCCAAGATGTCGGCCGTCACCTCCTGGCGCTCGTTCATGCGCAAGTTGATCTGGGCCAGGTAGTTGGCGTGGGACCGCGCCAGGATCTTCTCGTAGTGGCTCAGGTTTCCCGTCATGGTGACGATGTGATCCTGGATGTCGCCCAGGTACAGGCCGATGTCGGAGCGGGGCGCCACCTCCCAGTGCTCGTTGCAGCGCTTGGCGAAGCCCTTGATGACATCGGCCTTGTTGCCCAGGAGCCGGTAGAGGCCCATGACCTTCTTGCGGCAGTCGCCGATGCGCCGCAGCGTCGCGCTGTCCTTGTCGCTGTCCTTGCCGCGCGAGGACGACTTGGTGCCCTTCTCCTCGGACGCGCCGTGGACGCCGAGCACCTCGTCGTCGATCTCGTCGACATCGTCCTCGATCTTCTGGATCAGCGGCACAAACACGTCCGTGATGTCGTCGATGATGGCGTACGAGATCCAGTCGGCCGAGAGCATCATGTAGTCGCGTAGCTGCCGCACGCGCCGCCGCACGTTGGCGGAGTGCGGCGTCAGCGAGAAGTGGAACGTGATGATGCCCTCCCTGAACACTACGACGTACATGTTGACCGGCTCGAGGAAGTTCTCGCTGCCTTCGTCCTGGTCAAACGAGCGGTAGTTGACAAAGTAGTAGTGCCGAAACAGCTCCACCTTCTCGCGCGCCTCCTGCATGACGATGTCTTCGGCCGTCAGGGGGTGGATGCCAAACGTCTTTGAGATCACCCGCATCTCCGCCTCGGTCGGGCTCAGCACGTCCAGCCACCATACCGGGCGCTCGCCGTACCGGAGGGGCTTGCCCTCGGGCGGCGTTGGCGACTTGGTCTGCGCTGGGACCGGGGTATTCCGCCCCGAAACGCCACTCGAACCCGCCGCCGAAACGAAGTCCTTAACTGTCGTTGGCGAAAGGGTGCGCTGCTGCTGCTGCTGCGTCGGTGTTGGCGCCTTGGCGTCTCCACTGGACACGATCTGGGTCGCCGCCGACGCCTGTCGGCTCGGCACACGGGAATCGTTGCCCCAGCCAGCTCCCAACGGCATGGACGAGCCGGGAGGGTACCTTGGTAGGGCCGCCGGATCCGCCTCGTCATCGTCTTCCTCGTCCGAGGACGAGTCCTCGATGATGACGGGATCTGGGATGAACAGCTCCCTGAAGCTGCCACCCGGCTGGACGAGCTCCGAGATGGATTGGCTGTGGATAGTGCTCTGGAAGTCCTCGTTGAAGTAGGTGAAGCGGTAGGGAGCGTCCTCGTCGGCACGGAACCACTTCTTGTCGACGGGCCGGAGGCGCCCGTTAATGAGCTGCGGCTCCGTGATGCGCTTGACGCGCCGCTCGTGATTCCGCCCTTCCTTCTCCAGCTGGCTCCACTCCTCCAGTACCGACAGGTCGGGCCAGCGGGCTTTGCGCCGCCGGACCCTGGCTGAGCCGGCGGCGCCGTTGGCCCTGTCGTCAGGAGCGCAATCGTCAGCGTGGGCAATGTCGTCGCCCATCTCGGACATGCCGTCCTGCGGGAAGCAGACGTCCTCCTCGGCCGGCAGGCAGACTGTGTGGCGCCTCTCGAGCGGCGAGGCGAGCAGCGAGGCGGCACGCTCGGGGTCGATGCCGGCGTGGTCCCCGCGCGCTAGCATGGCCTCGCTACGGCTAATCTCATCTCGCAGAAGATCGTCGCCAAAGTTGAGACCGCTGGGATCCGACGGCCGGAGGATGGGGCTGCCGGGGACCGACGGAGGATAGTTGACATTATAGCTGTCTCCGGTAGGGGTGAAGACAGACTGATGCGGCTTCTTCTTGTGGTCGAAAGACATGCCAGACGACGTCCTCGTCCGCGGCACGCTCCGACCTCGACTGTGGTCGTTGGATCCGTAGCCGGGGACGCCCAGGTTGCCCTCCGACTGGGCGAGGCGCGAGGACCCGCCTAACAGGGGCGCGCCCTCGTTGTTGGACTCGTCACCATCCTCGGCTCCGCTCTCCTCCAGCTGGTAGACGGTCCTGAGTCTGCTCGATCCCGACGGCTGTGTCTGCTGGGGCGTCTGCTGCTGCGAGGAGTGGATTGTGAACGATGACCCGGTGGCCACGGCGATGGACGGCCGGCGGGGCCGCAGGGACGACTGCTCGCGGTGATCCAGCAGGGCGACGCTGTCGAGGCTCGTGTTGCTGAGCTGGCTGCCGCGGTGCGAGTAGAAGGCATCGGCGCCGGTGGCGCCGGACAGGTCGTCGTGGCCTATGTCGTCTAGAGGAGCGGCAAACGACTTTCTGCGTGCCTTCTTCTTCTTCTTGCCGGCTCGGTGCGTACGCTTGCGCCTCGTGGGCTGCTCGGCCGGACCGCCAGCGACGGCGACGGGATCGCGAGGGTCCATCTTCGCCTAGGTGGCGGGGTTTTGGGGTGGTGTACAGTTGGATCGCTCGTGTATCGGACGAGGAGGTGCGTGTTGCCCTATCCCACAACGGGAATGCAGGCAAGCGATGGGCAGTTGCGAGCTGGCATCTGGTTGAAATGCATCCACGATGGGGGCCTGCTGGAGAGAGTGAGAGAGGTGGAATGGGAGTCAATTGAGGAATGGAAAACGAACGGGCTCTTGTGTCTCTTGTGTGAGGAAAGACTGGCTCCAGCGACGGTCTAGGGGAACGCGAGAAGACGAAGGAGCGCAGGAGGCCGGGCCTGGAACAAGGGGGTGTGCAGGAATAACATGCCGGGAAAATGCGCGGCCACAGCTGGGGCGGGATTTCCAATCGTGGGGCGGGCAGCCTCTGACTAGGGCGGGTAATCGACAACGCGGTTTGCAGACTGGTGATGTCAGACCTCAGCAAGGCCTGGACTGCGGGTGCAGGGAAGGCAGCAGGGTGGTGAGGCTGAGATTCTGGCGGAAGGCACAACGGAAAGAAATACCAGCGGACAGGGGACAGGGCTCTCCTTGCACTGAACCCCAGCCACTGAACATTGGACCAACCACTGAACACGGGGCCCAGCACAGGCACCAGCCGCCACAACACGTCCGCTAATTAGATTAGGTTTAGCTGCCAAGGCGCCGCTGCCCCGGCTGATTCCTGCACCCCAAACTCAACTGCGCTTCCCCGCGAACCACCATTCCTTTTCCTTTTGTAGAAGAAACAGCAGAGTCTAGAAGTGAAATAAGGGACAAAGCTTCTTTTTTTCCTCTGGCCAGCCTTCGTGACGGTCTGCGTCTTGGCTGCCGCAGGTTGACGATTTGACTCGACCGTGACCGCGATGGATGTACCTTGGGGCCTCGGCATCGAGGTTCAGCTGAGATGCAGCGCTGCGGTTGGGGCACGGAAATCGGCACACAATGCCGCATCATGGTTCAGGCTCGGCTTCGTGCTGCCATCTGAAGGTGGTGTGGCCCTGCGTACCAACCTTGGGTTACCCCTCTGGACCAAAACCCCTCTTCGCCTGCGGCCCCTCTCCTCATATCAACCAAGCAGGATTGCCATCCCCCTCATCAAAACCAGAACAGACGCACAGAAGCAACTCCGAGACACATCTCAAAACCAGCACCCTACTCGAGACCGTCCCTCTGGTGCAAGTGACTGAATAATACCTGCATAGCACGCCCGCGATCCCCTCATCGCGGCTGGTTGTTCGAGTGCCACAGCCTAGGGACACCTTGCGTATAAGTGACCCCCATTGCCCGTCTTGGGCAACTGGCCACACGGCCCGAGTATCAGGAAGTGTCGTTGTCCTTGTCACATCGCTGCTCTAGCACCAATAAATTCCCCGAAGAACCCATCCAGCCGCATTGAACGCCATGTCCGGGTTCCCCAGGCTCGTTCCCGCCTTTACGGCCCAGGTGGGTTGGACACGCGACCTCTGCTGTGGCAGCACGCTTGAAATGGAATGAGAATGGTAAAGGAAATACATGGAGACACAACAGACATATTTGGTTCTGACTATCTGGTTCTACCCGGCGCCCGCCCGCGTCCCTCTCCGAAAATAGGTCCCGCTCAACCCGGGCGTCCAGATCGGCACGGCCCGCAACGGCGACCTCTTCATGGCCTCCTTCGTCGAGGGCGAAGGCTCCCTCAGGTCCGAGCCGGGCTACGAGGTCCAGTTCGATGGCGTCTTCGCCCACGGCAGCGACTACATCCGCCCCGATGCCGACGGCCGCTACGCCCGCCTCGACGTCAACAGCCTGCTCAGGGACTCCAAATCGGGGGCGCTGCTGCGCTATGGCTACACGGGCAACCTGGCCCTCATTGACCCGATTAAGCTCGTGCTTGGTGACAAGCCCGAGGCCAAATCGACCGATTTCGGCCACGTCTGTGTGTGACAAAAAGCTTCTCTCTACATCCAACCCTCAACTTGGTTGGCTCTGGTACTAATAATCCTCCAATTCTCACGCCCCCCCAAAAAAAAGTTACCAACATCACATTCGAGAGCTCCGATGCAGCCCTCAAGGCATTGAACGACAAAGTCTACGTCGGCTCCGGCCGCTTCATCGTAGAGCAGGGCAAGCCCGTCTTGGTCGAATACAAGATCAGCGAGGTGACATACTGAGTCGTCACCACGCCTCAGCGACTGCCGTAATGCTTCCTGTGTGCCGATCAAAGGCCCGGAGGCCCGCGGAGGAAAGAGGAATCGACATGGGGGAAATTTGCTATTCAGGGGGAAGGATTGCTGGCTCTCAGACATGCTGCTTTCTTATTTCTGGACAGTCTCGTTGCATTCTTTACCAAATATCTCCAACCGTCAAACGACCAAACATGGTATTCGCACGGTTGGTTCGTGACGCCAACGGCCGAATATACGATTGCATGACTTCCTCGTACACCATCTGCCCGCGTGATTCCAACTAGACTCGATCCTGCACCGTATATCCTGTCAAGCCTTGTTTATTGTGCATATTAATCCATCCCACGTATCCATCCTGCAGCAATGATGGGGAATGGCCACCTGGAGATCCTGACAGTAACTCGCACGCTGCAAGTAATGGCCTGGTGACTCGATGATGAGATTTGACATCAGAGGTAACCCAGGGGAAGCGTATATGTATGCAAGGCAAAGGTCATCCAAGCAGAGTCCCTGAAGATTATTCTGTCTCGTTAGGTAGACATCGCCCTGATAAAGGACTAAGAGTTCGACATTCCACCCAGCTGCAAGAGACGCTCGCCGGCTCGAAGGTTGGCGTATTCGTAGGCTTTCGACCCCTGGGGGAAGGTGCCATTGGCGGCCCAGAGGTCGATGAGCGGCTGCATGGGCTCGAGCTCATGGGGCTTGAGCATGTCCAGCGCCGTGGCTGTGAGTACAAAGTGGCTGAAGCAGCTGTTGAGCTGCTTCTCCAGGTTCAGGTGGTAGAAGGGCTCGACGAAATGGGCCCAGTAAAGATGCGAGTAGACGCGGAACATCTGGCGGAATATCGTCTTGCACACCTCGACAAAGTTCTCGGGAAACCCACTCCGCTTGCCGAGCCAATCACCAGAGGACCCGTCACCCGCCGGGTTGGCCAGTTGCGAGAGCGGCGCGTTCGTGTACTGAGTGTTGTGTGCAAACGAGACGCCCGAGGCCTCGGTAGGGAAGATGTTGGTGTCGTCGATCTTGCCCGAGATCCATCGCTGCATCAGCGTCATGTACTCGTGCGCCGGAAGCTCCACTGGTTCCCTCCGCGAGTTGAGCCATGTAAAGGAATGGTTACTTTGGCCCACAAACCGTACGTGTCAGTAGTCTACTCCAGTCACCACACTGAGAGGGCGAAGAAGGGGGCCGGGTGCCACTCACGCTCCAGCAGATGTTCGTGGGCAGGTGGTGGCATTGCAGATGGTGTTTCCATCCTCCTCCTTCTCATGAAGAACCCTGACAAAGTTCCAGAGGTTGCGGTAATGCTCAACAACTAGCCGGACCATGTTAGCATCGAGTTCAATGCCCGGACGATGCCCGCAACGCCAGTTGAATGGATGCCGTAAAGGCCTAGACGGGGCGGCCAACCTTGGTGCGCAATCCACTCGCCCTGTTCTACAGTCTTGGGGCGGGCGCTCAGTGTCATGAAGTTGCCCTTGACAATGTGCCTGGCATAACCCGGGTTGAGCCAGAGAGGCAGGGGCCTCGGCAGGTGGTACGAGTTAAGGATGTCTTCGCCGCTCGCCATGACGCCGCTATCGTCCATGCCAATAGAGTAGGCCAGCGAGGGAGAGTTGGGCAGCGGAGGAAGCTTCGAGGCCAAGCTCGTTGACGACTGACTCCCCTGGGACAGAGCAGTGGGCGAATTCGGACCAAGGTTCAGAGTTGGGCTTTTGACCTGACCGCCGGTTTGTTTGTTGCCACCACGGAAGCGGGCGTTGCTAAATCATCAGTCAGACGGGCAGGCATGCAAGTAGGGTTGAATGTATACTAATCGAGTAACAGTGAAGAAAAGTGAGGCGAGGTGCTCGAAGGGGAGGACGAGGGTGGGAGAGCTGGGGTTGGATCCCAATAGTCGGGTTAGGTCGAGCTCCCCGCGCCGCCTCCCCGCGCCGTGACGCTAGCGAGCGGTGACTCTGGAACCCCCGAGCTTCTTGGTGATGGGCAAGCAGACCATGGGGAAACAAGGCTGCCAAGGAGGGGTGCAGATGGGTGTGACAGCAGAGGTGGGTGGTGCATATCCCTAGCCGCTTGGGTTTGAGACGACAAGGTAACCAGGGGCTTATATGTATGCACCTAGAGCTTAGGCTCGAAGCCAGTCTCCAAGACTCGCCTACAGGCAGCGGACGGAAAAGAACCGGGCCAGCAGCCCAGGCCGGACGGGTGGCGGCGAGGGCAGAGCCCCGGCGAGGCTCCGGGCGTGCAGGGAGGCGTCGACTTTGAGAAAACGGGGCGGTGGCTCACTCGGATCGGATAGTAGCAGCAGTAGCCCAGATAGGGTCAAGGCTGATTCGAGCTGCGAGGCCAGGTTGCGTCTCACTGAGAGCAGGGTGCCTCGACGGGGAGCTGGAGAGGGGTGGCCTCAAGGGCGGGGGAAACCGGAGATGGAGGGATCAAGAGAAAGTCGGGCCGGGGGAAGCAACAGAGGCGGTAGGTACGAAAGACGAACAGACAGACGTTGCTGAGCGTGGGCTGGCAAAGATGTGCAGGGCAAAAATGGATGCGAGGGGCGACAGCAAAAGAAAGGCGACAGAGAATATGCAGAATTGGACTCACATTCCAGAAAAAAGGTTTGACATTACGAACGGGATAGGTAGGTTGGCGGTGCAGCAGCCTCTGGAGATGGCAGCAGCGGCAGCTCGCGCGCTTCTTCTGACAGTTGCAGGAGGGGCGGCGCGGGTGCCGGCCAGGTGTTGGTGTTTGGTGAAACTCAAGGGTCCGAGGCTCAAGCGAAAGTCGGGGCCCCGTCAGTCGTTGCTGGTACGCCCAAAAGGGAGGTGAGCGAGGGAGGGGCCAGAGAGGGCAGCGGTCCAGGCCCAGGGCCAACCGAATCAAGCCTGGCGATCGTTTGTTTTGCGTCGAGCTTGCAGAACAGGGGCAGGCGGTTGCGTTGGGCGAGTCGTCTTTCTGGGTCTGCGCTTGGATTCTCCGGCTTTCCTTCTTCTGTTTTTGTACTCGTCTGTCTCGTTGGTCGTGTTTGATTGCTTCCGCCCTTTCCCAGGGTCGGTTCCTTGGGAGGATTGGAGCTGGGAAATATGCGGTGGACCGCGGGCCCTCAGGTCTACTTGGTAGGCGGTCGGGGGGCTGTGTCGTGGTTGTCGGCCCCTGGAATGCCCCGCGGGGTCCAAACGCCCTGCCAGGGAGGCGGACGGCTTGGATTGAGTGCCGTCACGTGAGAGCGCGCTAGGAGACACTTGAAATGGGATGGCCCGTGCACTGAGCAGCCATTGAGCTCTGGAGCGTTCCAGGTTTGCTTCGGCCCGCGATCGAGGGCTGGCCACAACAGATCGGCACCAACCGCGACGGCACCCACCACCTCCGCGGCTCATCAATTAGGACCCGAAGACGGAGCGCATAGCCAGCTTGTACTACGCAACCCGCTTTCTTAAGCTTGGGCCATACCGACAGCCAATTCGCCAGCCAGCTTCGGCCAGACACACACGAACCCACGACCGCGAACCATGTCCGACTCGGAGGATCCTGTCGACATGCCCGAGGGCGGTGATGACCTCTTCGGAGAGGAGTCAGACAACGAGCGTCCGCTTAGTGATCACGAGCTCGACGACGAAGACGACGACAGGCAGCGCGACGATGACCGTGGTGGCGAGGATGAGGGCCCGGTGGAGTTCAAGCAGACGCGTGTGCAGGATCAGGTCGTCTATCGACACCGCGCCCCGAAGCCGAAGGATGGCGTTGTACGTTGGCATGCTTGTCTCGTCGAGAAGGAAAATTTGGACACTAACCAGCCATTGGCATCGCACAGCTGCGCACGATGAGGATACCCGATTTTCTTCGTGTGGTTCCCGAGCAGTACAAGGAGGACACGTACCAGCCGACCGAGGTCGATCTCGCCGAGGACCGAAAGAAGTACCCCGCAAGCGCTATCCGCTGGCGCCGCAACCTAGAGACGGGCAAGCCTGAGAGCAACGCGGCCATCTATAGGTGGAGCGACGGATCCGTGACGCTGGCGGTGGGCGACCAGCACTACGAGGTGGACGTCAAGTCTCTGGCGCCGCCAGCCAAGTCTTACGACGCGAGGCGTGATGCAAATTACTACGCAGCCGCGGCGCACCTGAGCTCCAACATGATGCTGTCGGTGGGCCACATCACCGAGGAGTACAAGGTCAAACCGAACGCGGCACTCGAGAACGCAGCTGTGGACCGGCTTATGGCCACGATGGACGCGGCAACCAAGAACCGTCACGCGGACGAAGGTGTCATATTCCGCGCCGCCGAAGACCCAGAAACGCTGCGGAAGCAGGCCGAGCTGGCAGAGAAGGAGCGTGAGCGAGCTCGGCGCCGCAAAGAGAATGCTGCCGCGCGCCTGGACGCTGGTCCAAGCGCCCGCCGGGCTGGTGGTGGCGGTGGGCTGTCTATCAGCGGACTGGAGAGCGGTGAGCGGTCGAGCGGCCGGCGCGGCAAGGGCTCAGGTGGTGCGCAGCGGCAAAAGAGACGAAACCCCGAATACGATTCGGACGACGACCTGCCGCAGGGCGCTCGGCGAGGGGACGACTACGACATGGGAGACGATTTTATCGCGCCTAGTGACGAGGAAATCTCGCAAGGCGACGATGATGAGGAGGAGGAACTGCTAGATGACGACGATGAGGAGGAGGAGAGGCGGGCACCGCGGGCCAAGCGGCAGAGGACGGCCGAGTCTGTCGACGACGATGCGGACGGAGACGAGGATGCGCCGGCTGCACATGCCGACCGCAGGGCTAGGAGGCACATTGTGGATGATGATGATGAGTGAGGAAAGATAATGGCGGAAGGCGGAACGGCTTTAACGGGCCGAGTGGTAGCAGAAACCTTGTATCATTAGAGGCTTCATCTATAGCTTGGAGAAGATAAGAATGACAGCTGATAGACGGGGCGTGGGCACGGGGAAATCTAGAGGCGCTACTCAAGATACGGGCCTTCACAGCAAAATTTATAAAAGGCTCGTCTGGGAAATGTGCCTTAGTTGCTTGATCCCCCAGCGTGTGGGGGCGCTGCGGTTTGGTGCACAGATCTGACGATGGTCGATGATGGGGTCATGAATCACATGCAAAATGCTGGGAATGCTGAGGACCCAACTCATTTCAGCACACCACTGGACTGCCTCGTCTCATTCCAACACCCGCGGTCGTGATGTGACTAGACACGCTGGGTTTTTACATAGTTGGTAGGTAAGTTAGCACGCTACACTGCGATAATTCAAAGCAGTTAAAGGATCAGCGGCTAGATTCCCGAACGCGCCGAGCTGCAGATGCCTGTCTCTTCCCGAGCGGATGACCAAGCTTAGTCGCAGCCAGGCCGCTGTCACTGTCGCGTGCCCATTGATAGCGTCGAGCCCGCCCTGCCCTCAGCTGTATACATATTATCTATAATACGTACAGCCAAGCTGGTTGCTGTGACCCGACGACGCCTGCAACAAACACCCCCGGCCGGCCGGGAGGGCCTGATGCATCTCTAATCCGCTGTTTGTCTCTTGTCCTCCTCGCCGCAGCCATGGGGGCCTTTGCGAGTATCTGGCAGACGGTTGCCTATGTCGTCAGCTTCTGGTACATTGTAAGTTGCCCGGACCTCGGCTCTGTCACCTCCTCGACGGTCAACGACCTAACGCTGGCTGCAGAAGCTCTTTGGCTGGTGGCGGTCCCAGCCGCCCAAGGCCCTGTGGATGGCGCGGCTGCGCAACGCGACCACGTACGAGGACTGGGAGGCCGCGGCGCTGCAGCTCGACAAGCTGCACGGCTTCGACCTCTGGCGCGAGATGTCCCAGTCCAAGCATTACGACTGGGCCCTGATCAAGGACCGCCTGCAGCTGCTGCACGACACCCGCGTCGACCCGACCCAGCACCACCGCCTGCCCAACCTCATCCGCTCCGGCCTGGTGCGCAACCTGGGGAACATCACGTCCCCCAAGCTGTACAACTGCTCCTTCGCCGGCACTAAGCTCATCATCGAGGAGTACATCGCCCAGGTCATCTTTGCCATCGATGACTTCCTCGCCGCCCCCATCACCGCGACTGCTACCAGCCCGTCCCGGCAGCAGCCCACTAGCCCCGCCGTCGACGAGGAGTCTTGCGACCAGCCCACGGATGACCAGCCCTCCCGGGCCCCAGGAGCTGCCGCGGTATCCACCGGTGGCCATGCTGCCTCTGCCAACGCCGCCGCTCCCCGGCCTGCTCCTACGTCTCCGGCTCTGTCCATGCAGGCCAAGATGACCTTCATCCACGACACCCGCCAGGCCTTTGGCCGCACGAGTCTGATCCTCCAGGGCGGCTCAATCTTCGGCATGTGCCACCTCGGCGTCGTCAAGGCCCTGTTCCTGCGCGGCCTGCTCCCCCAGGTCATCACGGGCACCGCCGTCGGCGCCCTGATCGCCGCCCTGATCGCCGTCCACACCGACGAGGAGCTGCCGGGGGTGCTCTCGGGCGAAGCCATCGACCTGTCCGCCTTCACGCCGACCTCGGGCAAGTCGACGCCCCCGGCCGCGGACGCGGATTCCTCGTCCTCCGTCGCCGGCAGCATCGCGGCCTTTGTCGCCTCGGTCCTGTACGCTTGCGCGCCCCTCTCGTCTAGCTCCACACGCCGCTGGATGACGCTGCTCCGCCGCCTCAGGCGCTTCACCGAGAAGGGCTACTTCCTCGACGTCGACGTGCTCGAGCGCTGCGTCCGCGACAACGTCGGCGAGCTCACCTTCCAGGAGGCCTTCAGGCGTACCGGCCGCGTGCTCAACATCACTGTCGCAACGGCCGAGCAGGGAGGTGTGCCCACGGTGCTGAACCACATCACCTCGCCTCATGTGGTACGCTCTTCCTCCTTGTTCTTGTCACCCCCTCCTCTTCTCTCACCTGCACGCATACTAAACATCACACCACCCAACACAGCTGATCTGGACCGCTGCGGCCGCCTCCAACGCCGACTTCCCGTCCCTGTACGGACGCGAGACGCAGCTGCTCTGCAAGCGGCCCAACGGCGAGATCGAGCGCTGGGGCCCCGCAAACGCCATCAACTTCCGGCACTGGACCGAGGCGGCCTACGGCGAGCGCAACTCGCCGCTCCGACGCATCGCCGAGCTCTTCAATGTCAACAACTTTGTCATCAGCCAGGCCCGCCCCTACGTCGTGCCGTTTCTGCGGCCCGACATGCACGGCCCGACGTCGTCGTCGTCCGTCTTTGGCGGCGGCGGCGGCAGCGCTACGGCCACGGCCTCGGCCGGCGCCGGCCTCGCCACCTCGACCCTCGGCTTCTTCCTGCGCCTGGCCGGGCTCGAGGCCCGCCACCGGCTCCGCCAGCTCGACCAGCTGGGGCTGCTGCCCACCAGCATCCGCCGCTTCCTCGTCGACGACCGCGTCCCCGGCGGCGGCTCCGCCCTCACCCTCGTGCCCGAGGTGCGCGCCTCCGACTTTGCCCGCCTGCTCGAGGTGCCCACGCGCGACGCCCTCGGCTACTGGATCCACATTGGCGAGAAGAGCGTGTGGCCCGCCCTGTCGGCCCTCGAGGTGCGCTGCGCCATCGAGACCAAGCTCGACTGGGCCTACAGGCGCACCAGGCGCATGAGCACCAGCCCGCCTTTGTGGCAGGATGCGGCGGCGGCGGCGGCGGCGGCGGCGCAGGGTGGAACTGGAAGCAAGGGCAGCAACACGGACACGACGTCTGTGAAGCAGGCGAGAGCTGGCAAGGGGTCGCCAGGTTGAAGTTGTCAAGGTTCCGGGATCCAATGTCTGCGCTCTTGTTGTTTTCTCCAACGTTTTCGTGCCTTTTTTTTTGTACTATAATACGTCACAACGCATGGCTTCTCTCTCCATGTTTCCTATGTTCTCCTGAATGGACAGACCTAAAGGTCCTTGATGTATTGCATTCATCCCATACCTCCAAAAGAAAAAAAAACACAACCCAAAAGAAAAAAGAAAGCCAACAAAAAAAAACTCCCTAGCCATTGCTCATCCGCCTGCTCCACCGTGCAGCCTCTTGCCTCCGCTGCTCCGCCCTGCGCCTGCGCGCCGGCTGGTCGGCCCTCGCCGCCGCGTCCAGCGCCGCCGCCTCGCGCTCCATGTCCTCGAAGCTCTGAAGGTCCGCCATGAAGCGCCGCAGCCGCAACCCCGTCCTGCCGCGGATCCACGCGTCGTAGTCCTCATCGCACGCCGCCGCCAGCGCCAGCCGGAGGCCCTTGAGCACGTCGCGGTCGCTGATGTCGCGGTCGCGGGGGTCTACCGCCGACGTCTGCTCGTTGTTTCTCTGCTTGCGCGGTGGTGGCGGCGGCGGCGGCGGAGGGAGCTCGTCTGCCTGGTCCTCCCATTCCGACCCCTCCTCCTCTTCGTTTCTCCATCGCCTCTCCTGCCTCGGCCCCGTGGCCGGTCTCGTCCCCGCCGCGCTGTACGTGTCCTCCTTGGGTGGTAGTGGAGGAGGTACCTGCGGTGAGGCGCTGTCTCCTGTCCTGGACGTCCTCAGGGGCAACGGCTTCTTGATATCGCTGATGTTGCGGATATCCTGCTTCTTCTCCTTCTCCCTCTCGCATACAAGACGATTGGCATCATCCAACTCACGTAGTTTGCTGATCACCCCGTCCAAAGCCTTCTCCAGTGATGAATCGGTAACAATAGCATATTTCCATGCATTTGGCAGTTCCGGCGGCGCCGGAGCGCCTCGGCTGCGGTGATGGTCTGTCCTCGGCTGATCTGAATGTGGTGGTAATGGCTTCTCTTGCTTCGCACTAGACCTCGCTGCTGTATGTGATGCTCTGGGCTCGCCGTGATCTTGAGGTGCCCCTGCTGCAGGCGGTCCCGCCTCGCCTGGGGGTTTTGGCAGCGGCTTGTTGACGTCAACAGTCCTGTCCGCGTCGGGCATCTCGGTCTCCTCTGGAATGGTCGTCGGTTGGGGCCTGATGGTTGCCGAAATGCGTGATACCCGGCCGCTGCTGCTCCTCCTGGCGTCTTTCCTCTGTGATTCCGTGGGAGGCGGTAGACCTTTTTCAGCTGCCCATTCGCCATGATCCGTCCGAGTTCCCCTGTCATGGAGCTCTGTGCGATCCCGAGATTGGGGAGAATTACATGTTTCCGCCTCCACGTAAGCTACCATTGGCGCTTTTCCCTTTGACCTTGAGTTACTAAGAACACTTATCTCCGGCCTGGCCTGATCACGAGTTGTGCGGGTTGCTTGCACTGCCCAGCCCGGGCTCGCCTCTCTGGAAGCCGACTTGAGAGGTATCGGGGGCGCTCTGCAGGTCGCATACGAGCCACGTGCATCTCCGTGTGTGTCGCGTAAATTCCTTCGGATAGGCGGAGGTCGACGAGGATCTATGAATGTCACGCTTGGTGGGCGCATAGATGGCACTTTTCCGGGTTCCCTTGTCGACACGCGAGCAGCGACGCGGGCAACAGGAGTCTTCGGACCATCGACTGCCACACCAGAAACTGCCTTTGTGCCTGGGGCTGGCAGAGGCCCTGTTTGCTTCTCGCATAGCCACGGCAAGACCTTACGGGGAGATGTACTGGGATGCTTGGGCGTTGCGGGCACTGGGTCCGCCGCGGGCCCTGCAATGCCACCGGGCGGCGTCTGTTGGATACTACAAGGTCTGCCAAGCCTCTTTTCCGCTAACCGCTGTGGCAGCAGTCCGGTCCCCGACCCTCGCGCCACATCTTTACCCACATGTTTGCTCGAAGAAGCCAGATGCACTGGGGCGCAGCCAGGGTTTGTGACGCGGGAATCGGGCTTAAGGGCCGAAAGCAGCCGCATCTGCTCTGCCGAGGTGACCGCCAGACCCGCATCCTTGAATTCGCCGTGATAAGGTATGAGGGCGCTGACTGTCCGGAAAGAATCCCGGGACGGCGGCTCTGGTGGCGTTGACTCTGGCGGTTTTGGGTGGACCGATTGGTATCTCTGAAGCTCCCTTGTAAATCGATCTATCTTTTTCTGCTGGCTCGGAGACCTTTGTGGTACCTCATCAAGACAGGACGACCTCTCGGACTGCTCTGGAGTCACAATATCCGAGAGACGTTGCTGCTGCGACAGCGTCCTGGAAACTGTGCTCCAAACTTTGGGGTCGGCCAGGCCGAATCGCTTCTCCTGCCTGCAAGTCAGCGTGGGCACGACCGACACAGGCTCCCGCGACTTCCTCTGTGGCGCCTGGGCAGCACGCTGTCGGTCTTGGCCCTCTGCCAAGCGTGTGTCGCGGTTACAGGCGCCGACGGGTTTTCTGGTGATGACACTGTGTTTCTGAGCGGGGATGCGAGCATTCTCCTTGGACGACGCGTGGCCGTCGTAGCCGTGGTCCAAGGGCCCCACGTGAGCATACTCGGTCGAGAAGAGCGCTGGGTGAGTAGCGCCGCGTTCAAGGGCATCTGCGCCCGAGCCATCTCGTAGTCCGGGTGCAACCGTCCAGCGGGCGACGTCTGCTTGCTCCTCGGGAACCTGCATCAGCGAGTACCGCCCGTCCTGAGGCTGGGACGGCACCACAGGCTTTCGGGGTGTCGACCCATCGCCATCCGAAGGAAGCAGCAAGGGTATAGGATGACTGATATCGGCTGGTTTGATGCGCTGGTGGCTATTGGAGGTGGCGCCGTCTTTCGGGCCGAGTATGTGGCCAACCCAAGTCTGGAAGCCCTTTGTTTTCCTATTAACCGAGCCCCAGGCCAGCCCACGGCCACTTCGGCCCTGGCCGCCAGATGACGACCTTCCGCTGCCTGACCCATGTTTGCCGTGTTTCTTGTCTTTGCCGGGTGTCCGGGTCTTGGCGGCTCGGGTGCGATAACCACCAGCGAGAGAGGCGGCGCTGGAGGAGGACCTATTGAACGAGACCCTGACCCCACTCCGGCGCCGTTTCCTTATGACATTCCGCTGGCGGTGCGGCCGTTTGCCGGGTGACGGTCCGATCGGTGAGATCTGTAGCAGCGACGTGGGCAGGCGGGCGGTCGCGGCGGGAGATGGGCGTGACGAGACGGTCCTGGGGCTGGCAGCGGCGTCGCGAGAGGAACCGCCTAGGTTGAAGCCGAGTTTAGGAAAATGATGCGAACTTCCCTTCTAAGTTAAGTTGAATGCAGGCATCGTCCATTATTCCAAAAAGGCCGATTCCAAAAAAAGGGGGTGTAGCGAGACAAAGTGTCCGCCCTTGGCCCAGAGCCAGCCGAGGCCAGAAGCGAAACAATGGCGATGGCCGCCTCTGGGGGCCTATGGTTCAGCCGCCCTTTGGTCTACGGCCAGCCAGCCTTGATCAAGGCCGCGACTGCCCGTAAGCCTTCTCATCCATTTTTGGATAGTACGATGCTCTGCCTTCCACGCATGGGCTTCTCCTGCATCACCACAGGGCGTGCTTTCTCCCTCGGGACCAGGCCTGCTTAGCTACCCGAACAACACCTAGTCCCAAGGCCATGGGGGCGGACCCTTCACTACCAGGCACCCATCAACTGATGCGCACGATGCCCGGTGCCGAGTACGTCTCGAGCTGTCGTCGGCCCTTGCGCAGCAGGTACTCGACGGCCGCAAAGTCACGCTTGTCTATGGCCAGGTTCTTCTCGAACTCGGCTCTCGCAAAAGCATGGAAGTGGGGGCGAGCAGGCGCTGGCTTTTTGCGGATCTCGCGCAGGGAGTTACGGTAGAGGGCCAGGACCTCCTTTTGCAGGCCAGAGAGACGGGGCATGGCGAAGGATTTGGAAATGATAGGCGCTGGAGGTGGGAGTTGAGAAAGAGTGAGATATCACGGGAGAGGAGTTATAAAATAAAAATAAATAAAAATAAAAAAGGGAGGTTCCACAAAATGGAGTTTAGAGCTTTGAGGGCTGCGACTGGGCCTGACGTCAGCACTGGTGAGCCAGTGGGCCTTGGCGACCAGCGGACTTGCCCAGAGTAGCACAGGTACCCGACTTGTCTGGTGCTTTCAGGGCTGCTTGGAATGCTCCGACTATCGTAAAATTGCAAAGCTTTTCATTCAGTGTTCAGTTCCAAACAGACAAAAGCTCGGCACCAGTCCTTCCGGTGTTTAGCCGCCCCATGTTGCTCCGCAAAGAACCCTTGACAGCGTCCCCTCTCAGCAACCTTGCCGCTCCGCTTCGCGGAAAAGACGCCGAGGTGTTCCGCCTATCCCGTCGGCCCGCTTGGTAGCCAGAGCTCAACTGTTTGATAAGAGATGATGAGCGCCTCCTCCTTCATGACACGAAGGCTCACAAGAGCTGCAGCAACAACAACCCGGGCATTTCACCCCTTTTCGAATCCCCAATCAAGATCATATAGCATCAAAATGCCGGTATTCTCGGTGAGCTCATACGAATGCCCCCAGAGGCCGGGGTCACATCGCACAACTAACACGTTATCTCTTCACGTGGAACAGCGCCTTGTCCGATTTGTGGCCGATGACGGCCGCACGTACTATGGAGACGCCATCCTGCCCGAGGGGACGGCGGACATGGCCAAGGCAAAGCAGGCGCGCGTCATCGAGGGCGACATCTTTGGCGAGCATCGAGTGACGGACCGTGTCGCCCGCGTCGACAGACTGTTGTCACCGCTCGCGCCCCAGGACGTCCGCACTGTTCGGTGCCTTGGGCTGAACTATGCTCTGCACGCCAAAGAGGTAATATAAACCTCTCCTTCGCCCGAGTTGGTGTTAGCTCATGCAGCCTTGTCGCTTCTAGTCAAACCTGCCGATCCCTCAGTACCCAGTGCTCTTTGTAAGTTGAAATCGATATTGTCCCCATCTCACAACTCTCACTCACACTTGAGGAAGAGGTGAGCGAAATGTTAATGTCCTCGGACGGATGGTACAAACAGTACAAACCAGCCACTTCTCTCTCCGGTCCCTCTGACCCGATCCCTGTTCACCCGATGGCACAAGAGGGCGATGGTCTGGACTACGAATGTGAGCTTGTAGTCGTTATAGGCAAGGAATGCGCCGACGTCAGCGAAGCAAACGCCCTGGACTACGTTCTTGGTTATGCCGTAGGCAACGACGTCTCTCACCGGGACTGGCAGAGTAAGTGCGCCGGCGGCACTGGCGGCCTTGCCTGTGTCTTAAACCCTCGGTCTAGATGCACGCTGACGCACTTCCCCTTCTCGCCTCAGTCAAACGCGGAGGCGGCCAGTGGTCGCTGGGCAAGGGCTTCGACGGCTGGGCCCCCTACGGGCCGGGCGTCGTCAGCAGCGGGCTGCTGAAGGACCCACAGGCGCTCCAGATCTCGACAAAGCTCAACGGGCAGACGGTACAGGAGAGCAGCACGGCCGACATGATCTTCAAGGTGGCCCAGACCATTGCGTTCCTCAGCCGTGGCACGACGCTGCTGCCTGGCGACCTCATCTGGACGGGCACTCCGCAGGGTGTCGGCATGGGCCGCAAGCCGCAGCTGTGGCTCAAGGACGGGGACGTCGTCGAGGTCGCGCTCGAGGGTGTCGGGTCCTGCACCAACAAGGTTGTGTTTGGCAAGGCCAAGGGCAAGGCTAAGCTCTAAACGAGCTAAGGGGGCCAGGGGCCTTGTCATTGTCGAAAAGCTGCAGTCGTCGGTGATCCTTCGATCCTTGGCGAACCCGAGGTTTGAGCTGAGCATCCACCAAGGGTCATCACTGTTGGGCCACGATAGATGCCCCACATCATTTCCACAACTACTAGGTACCAGGTATATATCATGCTGATCTCAGCTCCAGGGCTAGCAGCGACAAATCTTTGGGAGAGTCCCAAAACGTGAAGACAGGAGATGAAATCCCGAGGCCCAACCCGAAGCAGGACAGCACCACTGCAAGGTCCCCCATAGCTTCTTGTTGACGAATCACAGACGCGCAGTTGCAACGCCAAGACGTGTCATTCGATTATTTGTCCATTTACTAGCGTGATTTATACGATATATGTACCACGATGGGTAAGACGGACTTTATTTAGACGGGTACGACTCAGGCAGGCAGCCTGATGCCACCGCCCTGCTGCTTCTGGAAGAAGCCCTTAGGGTCATACTTGGCCGAGACCTGCTTGAGGAAGGCGACGTTGTCAGGGCCGTAGCTGTCGACGGGGTCCTGAGTGGGGTCGACGTAGTTGATGTACTGCCACTCGCGCAGTACGCCGATGGACCTCGCGTAGTCGGCCAGCTCGGTCTTGAAGCGGAGGGACCGCTCGTGCAGCAGCCTCTCCTGTTCGGCCGTCTCGACGGTGCAGGCGAGCAGCCACTGGAGCGAGTCGCCCTCGACGCGGTCCATGCCCAGGACGTTGCCGCCCCTGGCCCGGCCAAGCTCGAAGAAGAGCTCGGGCATGGGCTGGAAGAGCACCTGGGTGGCCAGCTGGTCGGCGGGCACGGCCGCGAGCATGTCGGCTACGAAGACGGCGTTGAGCTCGTCGGCCCTGTTGACGACGCGGACATCGTTGGCAAAGGTCAGGGTGAACCAGACGTTGCGCCTGCCGGCCGGGAGCAGGTAGGCGTCGACGAGCTGGTCCATGCGGCGCGTGGTGAAGTCGTTGAAGAGCTGGGTCGACTGCAGGGCCTCGGTGAAGGCGGGGCCGGCGGCGACGCCGTCGGTGTCGATCAGGAACTGGGCGAGGACCGGCTCCTTGCCGACGGCCGGGTTGTAGGTCCAGCTGATGAGGTAGGCGGCGCCGGGGTGCTCGCGGGAGTTCGCGGTGAAGTTGACCATGGAGCTGACGACGACGGCCCCCTGCGACACGTTGTTGAAGCGGGCGCCGCCCCAGACCGGGCCGCTGGGGAAGGTGAAGAGGTCGAAGCGGGTGACGATGCCAAAGTTGCCCCAGCCGCCCTTGAGCGCCTTGAACAGGTCCGCGTTCTCGTCCTTGTTGGCGTTGACGACGCGGCCGTCGGCGAGCACGACTTCGGCGTTGACGACATTATCGCAGCCGAAACCGTACCTGCCCGTGTAGTACGAGTTGCCGCCGCCCGTGAGGAAGCCGCCGATGCCGACGTTGCCGTCGCGGCCGCCGACGACGGCCACGCCGTGCTGGAGCTCGAGGTCCTTGAGCACCGTGCCCCAGCGGCTGGCGGGCAGGACCGAGGCCAGCTTGGTGCCGGCGTCGTACGTGGCGCCGACGAAGTGGGCGCTCAGGTCGATCTCGACGCCGCCGTCGACGTTGTTGCCGCCGGCCCAGTGGCTGTGGCCGCGGCTGCGGATGGCGAACTTGGCCCGGGGCATCTTCCGCAGGGTCTGCAGCACTACCGACACCTCGGCCGCGTCCTTGGGCGTGACTATGCACGCCGGCGCCAGGCGGGCCGAGGCGGACCACAGCGTGTTGATGCGCTCCGCGTAGGCGGCATCACCCGGCTTGAGCACGGTGTCCTGGAGGCCCGCGGCCGCGAGGGTAGCACACTATTCGTCCGGGCGAGCACGAGCCAAGAGGTCAGCACGACTTTCGGAGTTTGAGACCTCGAGCCTTGGTAGGCAGGCCCGCTTAGTCAAGGCTGGGAGGTACCAGCGAACCCGGGTACGTACCGGACTTTTGGTGGAGCATGGGCCAGTTGAGACGGCTATGGTTACCATGAGCGCGGCGATGGCGGACAGTCCAGCCCGGGGAAACATGACTGCCGCGAAGACTGGTGTCCCGAGGGCGCAAGCTAAGCCAAGAAAAAAGGGGCGTGCGGAACTGTGACCGGACCGGGGATCTGCCGCTGCAATATTCCAACACTCTCTAGCAGACGGCCCTGGTAGGCGAATGGGACAGGGAGTGAAGCACAACGAGATGCCGCCAGCTGGATAGATCCGCCATGGTTGGGGTGAAGGAGGCTCGGGCGTGTGAACCCTTGGGGAAACCCTGTGTCTTTCTATACCACGTTACTGTGGGTGTGATATCTGACATGCATTATCGCGGTGGAGGGCGCTGCGTAGTAGAGGCGGACTTGTGTGCCTATTCCTGCTTGCCCCGAAATGGCGGAACATCCACCCAGTATTCTGGTATCCCCAGGTGTCTTATCTGCCGATGAGTTGACCTCCATGTCAGCCCACGCGAGCCGCCGTTGGGTAGACGTCAGATCGATCGAACTGAGGCCACGCCACGAGTGGTGGCCATGGAACTTTCACCGCTCACAGACGCTGCATCTTTAGCACTAGGTTGCGTGACACCAAACCTCGAGACCTAGCTGGCTGGGGTGATTTGGATTTGCAAAGGTTGGGCTGCCCAGCTGCGCGCCCCTTTTCCCCATCATTTCATCCACTCAGAAGCCCCCCCCCCCCCCCCCCCTGTCACATTTCTTTTCCCACCCCGCCAAAGCCAAAGGGCAAGGGTGGAGAAAACCCTGTTTTCTTACAATCGCTGGAATACGCTCGACTCTGTGCCCTATAAGGAAGGACTCGCCATGGGTTAGATGGCTGACCCCCTGGTCGCCAGAAGACGGCTATGCCAGACAGAGGCATTGGCTTCGTAGGTAGTACCCCAGGTTCCATGCGACTAGCCAGCTGACGGCGTCGGCAATGTGCGCCACAAAGGTGTGAGGTGCTGGGACTTCCTAGATGAAGTGCAAGCCCTTGCGTGTAATACGGCCCTTGAAAACGACGGCACTTCCCTCTCATGTTCCCCATTCTGGTCCCACCCTTCCCGTCCTTCCCGCTCCGTGCCGTCCGTGCAACCCGTATCGACCTTTGTTCGAGGAATCCCACAACCATCGTCCAACATGGCGGCTGTCATCAACGGCGTCCCGGCGGCGATCCCGCCGCCGCCTGGCTATGTCGTAGACTTTGCCAATCCGCAGCGGAACTCGGTAGGGGCAGCTTATGCCATTGCCGCCATAGGCATGGCCCTCGCCCTGTTTTTCGTATTCCAGAGGTTCTACGTCAAAATCCACATCAGAAAGAAGATTGGCCTTGATGGATGGGATGTTTGTCTATGGCTCCTATTGCGACTCATGCTAAGGTTAAGCTTCTAGATGATATTTACGCTGACGTTTCGGGATAGGCCTCCTTGTTGGTGCTTGGGTACGTATACATGCCTCTGTCGTAGCAGTACCGCTCTCATGGTCAGGCGACGGGAGAAAGAAAAAGAGCGAAGAAAAGAAAAAAGAAATGGCGAAAAGCAAAGGACGAGATGAAGAGGTAAAGGCGCGAGAGTTTCTGACCAACTTGGTGACTGACTTGTCCTCTCAACTCCCTGCAGCTCGGCAGCATCGTTATCCAAGCGTTGGTAATCCGTAAGTGCTAGATCTAGTAACTAACGCTAGTTTACGAGCGGCTTGGCTGACGATGTCTCTATCGACCTTCATAGGCTCGTTCGCCCTGGGATACATCGGTGTCCACGGCTGGGAGATTCCACTCGACTTGTTCCAGCAGTATGTATTCGTACGTTACCAAAAAAAAAAAAAAACCACGCCGAGATACTCTGGTCTTTAGGAGAAGTTAGCCCAGAGGAGAGTGCTTACTGACCTTGATGGGCGACCACAGACCGGAGGCTACCTTAACTCGGTTGTCTACACGGTCCCGACGGCGCTGTCCAAAGTGGTCATCCTGCTTTTCCTTCTCGAAGTCAACGCTGTCCACAATTGGTACCGATGATCCGTTTACATGACCATGTTTGTCGTGATCGGGTCTGGAATCGGAATCTTTTTCACCTCAGTCTTCCCGCGCTGGCCCATCGCCAAGAGCTACGACCTCGCGTTCCCGCCGGCCGAGGGCTCGTGCATGGACAGACCGACCATGTACAAGGCAACCGCTGCCCTGGGCGTCATTACGGACGTCATGATCATCGCTATCCCCATTCCGATGGCGTTGGGCCTGCATATACCGAGGAACAAGAAGATTGGCCTGCTCGCCCTGTTTGCCATCGGCTCAGCGTACGTTGTGGTACCGCCCCGGCGGCGAGGGGGTCCCCTCTGCTGCACTTGGACATGAGACTAACTGCTGGATTGTCCGCGCAGGACCGTTGTTACTTCCATCGTCCGCCTGTACCTCCTAATCGCCATCATGGACGAAGTGAATCAGACCTGGGGTGGTGGCCCAGTCGTTGTTTGGATGTGAGTCTTTGTTCCCTGCCCCTGCTCTCGATCCTCTTCCAAAGGCGCAACGCAGTACACTGACCATAACCCCTTTCACGTTTCAAAACAGTCTCATCGAAGCCAATCTCCTTATAATGTGCGCATGTCTCTCGACGCTGCGCCACTTCTTCAGAGCCGTCGCACCCGGTCTTCTGAGCAGCGTGTGGAGGAAATCCAAGAGCAAGGGCACGGGGAGTCTCTCGAACAGCCACGGGTCCGAGCTGCAGACCATCGGCCAGATCCCTAGCAAGGGCCTTGGCAAGAAGCAGTTCATGAAGCTCGACGGGCGCGCCGACGTCGAGTCGCAGGCCTACGCCGGCCGATCCTCGCTCGAGACCAAGCGCAGCGACGAGGCGGGCAGCGACAGAGGCATCGTGCAGACCACGACGACGCAGGTCTCGTACACGCAGCCGCGCCGCTAATGGAATGCCTACCTATTGCCCAGACTGGCTGCTGGCAGGCGCCGAGTCTGACCCGCTCCAGCGACAACTCGGCTACCTACTTTGAAGCCGGATTCCACCATGATGACACCCGTGATACCCCTTTATAATAAGACTAGTGACATAGATGGGATGAATAACAGCAAAGAAAATAACCAGCAACGCTCTGATACAAGGCACCTTTGTCCGTCGGATGACATGGATGTGTGGTCATCTCGACCAAGGTTCACGTCGTGGCTGTGTCGGTCTTGGGCAACAAGCGCTTTGGCAAGCAGCTGATACCGCATCGCCCAGGCATGCCAGTTTTTACACCGAATCGAGGGCATTTTACTGGACTGGACTGCCCATCCCAACTCCACCTGTCTTCGGTGGCTGGATTGGGTTGCCGATGTGAACAATCTGGGCACCATGTTGATCAATCAAGCAGGACCGACCCCACTCCAGCCCCGCGCTACTAACAACAGGAGTGGCAGCTACGGCCAAAGAAAGCATCCATTATCCATTGCAACTGCCTCGACCGACTTTTCGCTTTCTACATGATGCTGATCCCAGTGGCTGAGACAATGGCAGTGAAGTCACCACTCGAGACCACATGCAGAGCCAAGTGCTCTCGGCCTGCGGGGCCCCACCAACCCAATCAGCCGCAACCCCCACCAGCCCTGTCCACCCTTGGCTTTCTTTTGGGCGTCTAAGCCTCGGACACTAAGCAGCCTGCCCAGTGAGGCCCAAGGCAAGCTCGGTGGGCTGAACGGGGCCTGCCTGCGTCTCTCGTGGTGGTCCTCGTGGCTGCTTCCGAGTCGTCCGTCTAGGACTGGGGGACCGTTTGTGGCAGCCGTCCAGTCCTGAAGCCTGCACGGGCTCTTGACAAAGGTCGGGCATCGCCTCCGCCTCTGCACCCAGTTGTTGGCCTGCGCGCCTATTTTAGCGTTTGGCTTTCTGTGCTTCTGGGGGAGGGGGCGGTACACGGCGCACACACACCTTACCTACCTTGCCATCTTAGGCGTCCAAGATGACTCCCTGCTTCTCTTTGGACCCAGAGTCCTTCTGCCGCTTCGTTTTGGTCCTGGCCGGTGCAGTGTCCTGCGCCCTGCTTCCTTATGTCTACCTTGGCCGGTCAAAGATATCTGCTGTTCTCTGTCGTGTCCGTCGCGTCGAGAGTTACGGGCACATACCTCGCACCTCCCGTTTCGTGAAGAAGTATGTTTACCCAAGCCTGAGTCTGTGTCATCATTGCTTTCCCTCTATTTACTATTCGCTCATCGTCATCAGCACCGAGGTGGTACCTTTGTTACTGGCAGATGCCTCCTCCACGATGACGGAAACCGCCGTCCAAATCACTCATGCTAGCGCTGCTGCGGCACTCATGAACGCCGTAGGCCCCATCCCCAAACGACCGATCACTCCAGAGAACGTCGCTATCAGGAGAAAGAGTATCGAGGTCGACCGGACCACGCAAGAGGCGAGTGGCCTAGTGGACGTGGCAGGCGGCGAGGCCGAATTTGGGGAAGATTTCGCTCAAGACTGGTTTAGATATGAGCCGCCTGATGTCTTTTCCAGTCTGCTCGACGGCGTTAGAGACGAGGTGAGGAGTGTGGTCCAGACGTCGGCTGAGAATGTCAGGCGTCGGGCATCTCTGGAACGGCAACGGGACGAAGAAACGAGGGAACAGACTGGCCAACAGTTTGCAGCATCGTCAACCTCACGCCCGGACTCAACGCCGGATCGGAAGCGAAGAGTCCCAGACTCACAGACTGTGGCGTTGGAACACAAAGCTTCAACAGGATATGCCGACGCTGGAGCTACTGCTGAAACTCTCCCGAGTGAGCCGCCTGCCCGACAGGAGAGGCTTTTTGGTCGGGGGATCATGGGCGTGCTCCAGGAAATGCATGGCAAACACGGGATATCCTTCATGTTGCCCAGTCTAACTTCAAAAGGGAAAACACCCGTCACAACAGTGTAAGAGTTTCCCTCTCTGGCCCCTGATCATGTCAAGCTACACTATCAAGTTGGGACATGATTTATTTCCAGCCATGTATACAGCACGGGGCTAATCGACAAACAATACATGCAGAGAATGTGTCGCGTGCCTGGACGACTTTGTGCCAAAGAAAACGGTAAAGACAGCTTGCCATAGCTACTGCCGGCCGTGTTTCGAGCGGCTCATCGAAACGGCGCTGGCCACAGAGGCGCAGTGGCCGCCCAGGTGCTGCCTGAACGAAGTGCCCCTGAACGCCATCGTAAATGGCCTTCCGCGCGGCCTCCGCATCCGCTACACCAACAGGGCCGCCGAATACAGGGTGCCCGCCAAGGAGCGCCTGTACTGCCCGCACCCGGACTGCGGCGTCTTCGTGGGGCAGCGCCACAGCTCCTCCTTCCGGCGGATGAAGAGCAGCGGCAGCATCATCGCCACGACGACCAGCAAGACGACGAGCTGCTGCCGCGGCCACCCCATCTGCATCCCCTGCGGCCAGCCCGGCCACCCGGACGACGGGCCCAACTGCCGGCGCGACCCGGACCGGCGACTGGCCGACGAGCTGGCCGACGAGGAGGCCTGGCGCCGCTGCTTCAAGTGCGACGTGCTGGTCGAGCACGCCGACGCCTGCCACCACATGACGTGCCGGTGCGGCGCCCAGTTCTGCTTCGTGTGCGGCCGCAAGTGGCGCACGTGCGACTGCACCTCGGACATGCTGCACCTCGTCAAGGACGCCGCCAGGAAGCGCCGCGAGGAGCGCGCCCGGCGCGAGCGCGACGACCGCCGCGCCGCCAAGAAGCGCGCCGAGAG